AAAAAAAAAATAAGTTAAATCTGGTGGTTAATTTGTGGTTAATTTGTTGAACCCCCCCCCCCCCGCCCCCCCAGCCTCCTTAACTTCTAATGCTAAATCTCTGCTTAATGAAAGAATTATTATATAATTTTGCAATCTTAATAATAAACCATTAAGCTGTTTTATCATAAGCTGTTGCTACCGTGCATAATATAAGTTAAAGGTATAACTGCAACTGAAGCAGTTGTTGGCAGGATTAGTACGAAAGCCTATTAGGACCAATCTAGAGAAAAAAAAATTAAAAGGCGTTATAACGCCTTTCGAAAAGGCGTAATAACGCGAAATAAGGCGTTATTACGCCTTTCCATTCCAAAAGGCGTTATTACGCCTTTTTAAAAGGCGTTATAACGTCTTTCCATTCTAAAAGGCGTTATTACGCCTTTCCATTCTAAAAGGCGTTATTACGCCTTTCTATAAGGCGTTATTACGCCTTTCGAAAAGACGTTATTACGCTTTTCCAAAAGGCGTTATTACGCCTCTATTTTGAATACATGATTTAACATATTTAGCCCAACCGAGGGGTGAGGGGGTGCAGAAATCTTACCTTTGGGACATTAATTTTACAATTTGATATAGGCCTAATTTCTCAAAAAATAATTTAAACAGATAACAATTAGATCTCCAGAAAAAAAGATTTTTAAATGCGTCATATATTTTCAATGTTGAACCAACTAAGTCCTTCTTTAATACCAGACACACTTCTACCAAGGATCATTGATTTCAATAGCTCATCATACCTATGCAAATAGTTTGCCTACTTTTTTCCAAGAAGAGAGAAAAATATCTTCAAATGACATGAATTTTAACCCATGGCAAGCAAAGCTCCAAGATTCATCTGTCTATATCGTATCTTAACAAGTAGAGTACGTGTTGCCTTCTCTTAATATGCATGCAAACAGTTGTCAGTGTGATGTGCAGGAATATAGAGAATTGCATAAATAAAGATGATTTTGATTAAATCTTTCATTTATTTATTAACATAAAATAACGCCTTTCCATTTTCAAGTAGGCCAGTAGTACGAGTGCAAATGGGGTGCCCCCCTTTCACATATACATACTTTTGTACAGTTGAAATATTATAATTAACTATTTGGTGCTTAGTTTCTGAACATTTTGTTGCAGTGTATAAAACTGTGTCAAATTATTGCATTTAAACAAAGTTTTACCTAGAAGTCCCCCCACGAGTTTGGCCAGTAGAGTGGGGGTGGTGGTTGGGGGGGGGGTGTAAAAGCACGGGCCTGTTAAATGCAAAATAATAATTATTCAAAAAGAGTTAAAACCCTTTTGGAAAGGCGTAATAACGCCTTTTGGAAAGGCGTAATAACGCCTTTTGGAAAGGCGTTATAACGCCTTTTAGAAAGGTGTAATAACACCTTTTGGAAGGCGTAATAACGCCTTTTGGAATGGAAAGGCGTAATAACGCCTTTTGAAAAGGCGTAATAACGCCTTTTGAAAAGGCGTAATAACGCCTTTTGAAAGGCGTAATAACGCCTTTTCAAAAGGCGTTATAATGCCTTTTTTCGCGTTATTACGCCTTTTCGAAAGGCGTTATAACGCCTTTTAATTTTTTCTCTCTAGATTGGTCCTAATAGGCTTTCGTAGATTAGAAAGCCTCGACACAAACAAATCATTTGGGGGAATCGGGGGGGTGGTAAACAAAGTTCATAGCTGGGAAATTGTAAGCCTTTTTGAAAGAGGGAAAACAAACATTATTTTTAGACGACATTTATATAAATGATTCTTCGAAGCATCAGAAAATAATTGATTCTTTAAAAAAAAAAATATTTTGATACAGATGTGTATTTAATTCTTGGCTGTTTTGCTTGGAACCGGAAGGGCCTCATTAAGTTTTTGTTTGACTTTATACTTCCGGCTGGTAATTTTAAAAACACAATTAAACCGGTTTAAAGCTCCCAAAAACGGAAAACGTTTTTTCTGGCATGCAAGTGTTCCTTCAAAGACAACGGTAATAATATTTTCAATTTCATTGTTGGAGAGCAGACTCCATGTATGTGTCATTCCCAAAAGCACTTCATTTTTGTCTTCACCATCTTTTGGCTTTGACAAGATCACCAGTACTGTGCGGCTTTTCCTTATATTCTCATACAGTTGTACTTCTCGAACATCGCCGACGTCTTCATGAATTGGTGGAACGAAACACTCGTACCCAATGTGTTGAAGATGTCCATAGATGTCAAGCACGTACTTAATAATATCTGAATTTGTATCGTCAAAAAGAACATAAACATCATAGCAATAGTTTGTGTTCTTCTTTTTCCTAAAACGATTCTTTATTAGGATAGCATCAAATCTGAAGACTCGGACTATAAGCATAGTTATCAAAGCTATAGCAGGAAGGAGAAAAAAGGCAAAATAATTTTCGTCGAATTCATTTTGTATGCAATTGTCAAACGCTATCTCAGCACGAAGAATACCTTGTGAATCTGTTCTACACAGTAGAAGATTTGAACTATTGACCTTTGACCCTAATCTCCATGCTTTGATCCATTTTTCTTGACAACTACACGGCACACTGTTTCGACCAAACCAGACCTTACTAGCATCAATGTCTGCAAATCCTCGCGTAAGTTTTGGTAAACTGTGGTCCGTGAGGAATAGGTTTTCCAGACTTTCTAACCTGGAAGGAACTGTGTCAGATATCTCTGCGACTTGGTTCCCAGATAAGTCTAAGACACTGAGGTTCTTGAGGTAGTTAACTGGCATTACTTCTGTAATCGCGTTGTTGCTGCAGTTTAGTTCTATGTTGTAAATAGTTTCAGGAAGATACGTCGGAAGACTTGTAAGATTTTGATTCGAACAGTCCACGGTCATTCGATACCGACTAGGTTGTTCTATACACGTACAGACAGACGGACAAAATGTTTGCTTATGGCAAACAAATATGTCTAATAACGTAGAGTCATTAAATACATTCAAAACATTGAAGTTCTTCAAATGCCTCGGGGATGAACACGTGTATAAGCCATCATATTGCATGTTATAAAACGTTTTGAAGATCTCCATATCTCCCAATAGCAGCACTGCTAAATTGCAATCACAGGGAAGCTGAAGGGTTCCAAATGTAAACTTGCCAATGAAGTCATATTTATACATATTTCTAAGCGAATTTACGCTATTTCCAAACACTAACTGAATGGGATGTTGATTAACGACGCAATCATCACACGCTACTTTGCCGCCGCCATACTGTACACCGGTTTGTAAATGCATTTCTTTCGTTTTCACAAAGGTTATATTACATCCTGCCAGTGTAATGTTACAAAATGTTCTACGCTTGAAGTAGGAGTTAGATACATCATAAGACTGGAAAATATTATTTGATAAATCTGTGACAAAAATCTCTGTACCCATCGATATGAAAGTGTTAGGTCCGACAGATCTTATGTTTGTATTAGTCATCAGAAGAATGCGCAAATTAGACATACCATAAAAGGTTTCATTGGATATCGATGAAATTGGATTCTCACTTAAATCTAAAAAGTCAAGAAAATTCAAGCAGTTAATACCATCAACATCTCGTATTCTGTTCCCTCTGAGCTTGAGAGTGACCAAGGTGGTGTTAAATTCACAAACATTTTCTGGCAACCTGCTCATATAGTCATATTCATCAACAAGCCAATAGTATTCTGAAGATGAGTCATTTCCAACAATGTTTGACCTTCCAAGTAAGTTTATATACTCAACGAACAATGGGAGATAACTTTGATTTGAATCAATCCGCCATATTGGTTCTCCATTACAAACACAGCATTGGACATAATCCTCCTGGGGATCTTGGAGGAGACAAAAGTCTGGACAGAGAACGTGCGGCTTGTCGGGCCCAGTTTCCGATTTCCAGCTGTGAAATTCTTGTACATTTGTCGCAGAAAAAAGTGCAAAAATTTGTAGAATGATTACAACTCTTAAGTTCTTCATTGTGTTCAATGACTGCATGGATTCTCTTCACACTTTTTATCTTCCGTGAGTTTTCAGTACAAATGACAACATAAACTATCATCAGGAGTTAAAATGACGAATCGACTTCCGCCTACTTTCTCTTTTAATTGTAAATTCCAAACTACAAGTCTTTAATAGTTTTCTTTTTCTTATTACCATTTTGTAAAGTTTTTTGAGTACATTGTTTTCAAAACAAAAGTGTTATGTTATTATCTTAATTTATGGTGACTGGGACATTTTTACAATGGTGATTTTATCAACTTAACAATAGTTTTGAAACGTATACATTTAAATAAATTCCAATCACGAGTTGTTATTTTTTTTTACAATATAACATTACAAAGACTTATCTTTCTATCAGCAATTATAGACAAGACATGATTTTGAAAGGCTTTTTAAGACCATTGGATATTAAGCAGAAAACACGTTAATATCTTCCTCATGAATTGGACAAAGAAATGGAATTTCCCTCTTCTTTCCACCTCCTGACCAAACCATTTCAGCTAGACTTATTTATTTGTATAAATTATGTAGTTTTTTAAAATTGATTCATATTTATTTATTATTTTTCATATTAATCCATTCATTCAGAAAAAAAAACATGTCAAAGTTACTAGTATATAGATATCTACAATCATTAAGGATTAATTAATTTTTACTTTTTTAATTACTCTTCAAATAGTTCAAAGGATGTTTTTACCATTATCTGTTACTTTTACAAGGTAAACATATTATGAAAATGTTTCTTATATATATATATATATATATATATATATATATATATATATATATATATATATATATATATATATATATATAAACAGTAATACTATTTAATAGCAAGTTTCAGATTCTTGTTTTTGCTGAAGTTTCAAAGGAACTAGTTAAAGTTGAACAAATTCAACAATTCAATTCTCTTTGATAACAGTGTTGATAATAATTATTTTGGGGATGTTCATATTCAAAATTTTCTTTATTTTTGAATACAAAACACAAATTGCAAATTTTTTTATTCAAAATATTTTAATTTTCAATCAACATTCAAGCATCACATAAATCAAAAAAGAACAAATTAACAATGAAAAACAATCAAACCTTTAAACAATAAATTATAAAATGATAAAATATGAATGATATGAGTGGTATTTTATGAGAAGTGCGTTTACTGACGTCACGTGACGTCATCATCATCATTCCTTCTGTCGTATGCAATATCTTGCCCACCATTGGCTTTTGGATAGCTTTTCGTCAGGGGGATGCTTTGAAGTCCATTCTCTGCTACACTAGACTCAGATTTATGAAAAGCCCGTCCACACTTCCATTCAAAACGAAACTCCTTACATATTTCAGACCGCCACGGAGACTGTAAAAGATTTTCATTTTTAATTCATTATACTCTAGATATTCTATTTTAGAACATTAATTTCAGTTAGTAATAATAATTAGTAATTTCATGATAAATACAGTACTACTCTTCTGTAGAGCAAATTAATAAAGTTTGTCGAAGTTTTTGTAGAACAAATAATTAAACGACGCATTTTAAACAAAGGCATTTACGTCATATTTCACCAGGAATTTATGATTTTGCCTTGCAAGAGAGTTGACTGTTCGCAGTTATGGTGAAAGAATTTGCTGCTTGTATGTATGTTAAAAAATTGTAATGCATTAATTTGAAATACTGTGAAATTACTAATTTTCGTCGGGGTTTATTTTCCGTTGGTTTAGAGGCATAGAGAGATCCATGAATTAATGAAACCCTCGAAATTTAAAATTTCATATGCAAAATACTTATCATTCTCTAACCAAGAAATCAAGTCACCACAAACCTATACTTTTTCCTCAAACCTGGAAAATTTGACCCCAAGACTATGTGAATTTACAGTATTATTACTTATTAACTAGTATTGAAATTATTTTTCTATATTAAAATAAGGCTTAGAAAATAATCAGAAAAAGATGTTTAAAACTAACATTGTATTTCCTGGCATTTTGTCGTGCAATCCACAGGAATTCCCCAAGGGCGACAATAAGCCCACAAAACGTTCCTATAATTAGCACGAGGAAAATCCCGCCTACATTCTCCATCGTGAGCGGGTTTGTCGTTTTGGTTGTCCCCCCTGAACAATCTACAGCTTTCTTCTGTTTCCACCACTTGTCATACATACTTTGAATTTTCTGCTCTTCTTGCAATTTTATTATCTCCCTTGATACATCGTCTGTTAATTCTGAGCCTGAAAGTTGAGGAAAATCATTTCATGCATTGATTACTTATAATATCTCTTTCGGAAATACTGTTTCACATTAAGATAACTACAAGAATTATTTCTCTTACAGCATTTTTCCTTAAATGATCCGCCCAAAGGCATATTATTGAACAGCAATTTTTAAAGATTTCAGTTTTTACGACACCTTTTGGAAGACCGATCCCGTATCCTTTGGAGTCCAGCCAGTTTCCGACCTGCATCAAATCGCAGTTGCGCTCAACACGGTATTCGATGGAGGACGATTCTGATAGGTAGGCATAGTCTCCTTGGAGGACTCGTCTCTCCCCCTCCTCTATTTTGGCCCACACTGGAGGGTCTGCACTCTCCATAACGTTATACATTTGAACGTATGTGGGATTGCTAGACGTCTATAAAAATATACATGTAAAATTTTAATTACAATTTCATCAATACTTTGGAATGAGCAGTGACAAACTCTATGCTCGTGTCACAACAAACTGTCAAATTGTTACGTATGAATCATTGCAGGTTTGAATCAGTGAGAACAAAGGAAGAATCCTCCCCCTTTCTGCTTTATAAATCTTTTCATTCAAGCGGACCCCATCCCACATTTATTCACTGTAAGTATCGTTATCTGACTGACCTTGAAGAACTCTAAGGTACTCCCTCCTTCGGTGGTTCCGTATTTGATCTTAGACTGTCTGGCCAGATCCTCGGCACTTTCGATTGGTGAGACTACATTTTCCACAGTCAGAAAGGCAGCTAGATTGGCGGTGTAGGAAGAGATCAGGATCAGCGTAAAGAACCACCAACATGCCGCCACAGTCCGCGTTGATATCGCCACAGGGGCCAACTCACAACCTGGAAAACAACAAGGAAACTAATCGAACAGGATTATCTTCAAAACATAAAGGTGGTGTTATAAGCGTACAATCTGTGAATTAGTTAAGTCTGGTCTTCCATTACTTGTCTGCTATCTTTGCGATTCAATCCGACGCAAGGATGCTGGAAATAGTCAGTGAATAAAGTAAATTTGATGATATGGTCATAGTAATTAAAAATATCTAAAAGCAGATATTCAACACCAATATATACTGATAAAAGGTCACAACGAAAAACAAAAACAAGCGATTCAATTCAGAATTACTAAAAAATTTTCAGTGCTTTTTTTTTGAAGACAAGTAATTATCTTTAAATAAGAATTTGCAAAACTAAAAACTTAATATATGAAATGAAATAACACCTACCCTGCTGCATGAGCGCCGCTATGACATACCACAGGGAACTAAGGGGAGTGAACTGGTTCTCCACTTCCTCTGTTGTTGGATCACAGGGATGCGGATTAATCCATTCATAGGGCGTGAATCGAGCCGTAATAAGAAGCACCAAACTGACCCCAAGAAACACCGAAATTATCCCTGCCCACACAATGTTGTCAAGGGGGGCTAAGAAGGACATTAGTTCCGGGGGATCAGGTTTTGGCTTCCGGAACAAAACTGTGATCCCCAGATTCATAAATGGTTTGGTAAAGTCTACATATCTCGCTCTTGTGTGTGTAATAGTAAATCCGGTAATTGCCATGTCCACTTCCTAAAACATAAACATTCAAATAGTCCGTTTTAGCATTCAAATAATCTGTTTTAGCATTCAAATTTAGTCCGTTATAATATCTATACGTTATCAATCCTAATTTGCTTCATTTAATGTATCAGACAGAGCAGCAGGAAAATAATAGAAGCGGTGAAATTTTGTCTTTAAATATATATGCCCCAGCCCAGCACTTTTAACATTCCATATATATACTGGTCCTATTGCTGATTACTTACGTTGTCGACTAACATCTTAACCATCCCCCAGCACTTAATGGTACCATTAGCCAGCTCTTCACAGTTACCGTATTCTCTGTCTGGAGGTTGTACCACCTCGTACTTAAAATTTAGTCGCTCTGCCAGAGCATCCATTATGTCGATACAAAATCCCTCATATTCTCCATCTTTTAAAATAACATAGGGTTTGACCTGGAAAAGAAACATGTCCAATTATAAAGACTGTAGCCTGACTTTAGTTAGCAATAACTGTATTTCTTAGAATGCTTTGCAATAACTTCACTAAGTATAACACAAGAATAAGCATGTTTGTATATAAACAATATTTTTATATAAGTAATTTAGAGTAATGCACTTAAAACACACAAAGACACAAAGAAGCTAAGATGGAGTCGTCAGGCGTTGATACCTTGGTACCATAACAGATCTCATACTTTGCTCTCATGTGTGTTTATTTCAGAGTAATCTCAAAACGACATGAATGACTCTCAATAAAGTTCGATAAACGTTTTTTGAATGGAGAAGGAGGGCGAAAGAGAGTAATCATCTGGGTTTTCATGAGAAATCCAGCAAACCTATCTGAAAAGAATGAAGAAAGCAACTCATCACAACCATGGCCAATTCATACTTTCACCACAAAAACTAAAACCCTAAACTGCTCACCACCAGCTCTGTTACTTTTAAAATCTACTGACAACCACCACTGTCTATCCATACTATCCTACACTGCCCTCCACTGCTACTTTATAATTAAAAAATATTTTATTCATATCAATAAATTGGATTGAAAGGAGGCATATGATCGTTCTCTCCATTGCCTTTTTTATACATCTCACCAACACCACTTTGCTTTATACTACTCACAATCATTTCTGTTGCTTAATACTACTCCTCATTACCACTGTTGCTTTATATTGTTTACCACTACCATAACCCTTTTATACTAGGACAATTATCTGTTAAGCTTGGCGTTTCAGTAAGGTGTGGCATTCTCAGTGCTTCGTAATTACATGTAGTCTGTCAAACGGCGAATAGATTCCCATTTCTTAAGAAATTAATAACATGATCAGGAACTTTAAATTATTGTTGACAACGATGAGATGACGTAAACTCCACCTCTTTGCCTGGCAAGACAATGTTATTTGTTATTCGGTACACTCATGACATTTGCCCCAATTTCTATCATATTTTCTGTTTATTTCAACAGTGAATGAAAGCTATGTAAATTTCAGATGCTACTTATGTAACTTCAGGAATGCCACGCCTTACTGAAAGTACAAGCTTAACTGAGAATTTTACTATTCACAATCACCAATATAACTCTATACTACTCGCAATCATCCCTAGTACGTAATACATCTCAGAATCACCACTTTTGTATTCATACACTCACCACCACTACTGCCACCTTGTAGGTCCTGACTCCTCGTATTCGAGTTGCGTTTCTGTGTACTAGCTTCATATTAACGGACTGTACAGGATCCCAGGACCCAATCTAATATAGATCGTATAGATTAGAAATAAAAGGTTTCAGATGATTAAAATGTCCATGTTAATGACACATAATCAATTTCAAAAATGAGAAAAGCGTATCTCTACAAGAAAAATGTATACAAATGAAATGAGATTACTTAATAACTTCAGAAAATATAAATAAAGATATATTTTTTAAAAACTGGTAGAAAAAGCTATTCAATAAAATCCTTTACGAGTAATGTCTTACACGTCTAAGCTGGCTCCTGGTTAGTTGATATATATTCAGCGTGAACATGTTTCTTTCTCCAAACCGACCGATCTGAACCATTCCAGTTAGACCGTCAAATAATGTGATCTAATAAAAAGAGATTCCAGTTAGACCGTCAAATAACGTGATCTAATAAAAAGACTGAACCATTCCAGTTAGACCGTCAAATAACGTGATCTAATAAAAGACTGAACCATTCCAGTTAGACCGTCAAATAAGGTGATCTAATAAAAAGACTGAACCATTCCAGTTAGACCGTCAAATAAGGTGATCTAATAAAAAGACTGAACCATTCCAGTTAGACCGTCAAATAAGGTGATCTAATAAAAGACTGAACCATTCCAGTTAGACCGTCAAATACGGTGATCTGATAAAAGACTGAACCATTCCAGTTAGACCTTCAAATAAGGTGATCTAATAAAAAGAGATTCCAGTTAGACCGTCAAATAAGGTGATCTAATAAAAAGATTCCAGTTAAGCCGTCAAATAAGGTAATCTAATAAATGGAGATTTTATTCGTTTCAGAAAAACAGGTTCTCAAAAAAATCACAAGTATGAGAATCATGCCTGAGAGCCTCTTGGACCTAGATGCTCACCTGGTCTCAATATTATTTATCTTAAAGGACTTACTTAAATGACCTAAAGGTTCCTATTATATCTATATTAAGGTTAAATAAAATAAAATAATAAAGCGTTCTCAAACGATTAGGGGCTCGGAAAGAAGGGAAAGGAGTACCAATTCAATTATTTAATAAATTTAATTTATCATTGCTTGAGTTTTAACAAGACTTACTGTTCTGATATAATCATAGAAGTCTCGGCCATCTTCCCATGGTGCAGCCTTGTCACAACTCACGCTCTGACTGAAATTCAGGTGTTTTTTGTTCGACAGAGTCACGTTCAGAGCTTCTCTCAATAACAGCACGCTATCGTATATAAAAGCCAGCTCAGTCTATAAAAAAAGCAAAATAAGAATTCATTCCTTGCTTCCAATACATGTACAAGTACATTGTCGTGTAATAAATCTATCTGAAATTTACCCTTTCATAATTTAATCACTTGCATTATGTGTCCTCTTTAATACACATTGTATAAACATTGTTGAACATATATCTATATGAAAAAAAGGAAATTTTGAATTTATTCCAGCTGTTTTGTGTCACTCGACTTCCAAAATGTATTCTTCTTCCGGAAATATATACATAGCAATTTTTCAGTTTAGGGCATACTTTTGAATAAAACACAGTGTCCAATTAAAACACTCACCGAAATCTGTTGAGGTCCATTATAAAAAGGTGAGTAGGGATCATTTTTACCCGGAAATGACGTCAATAATTTAGACTTGACTTCCGCAAGAACTGGGCTGTTTACGTTGATAAGACTAACCCCGGTAATATTGGCTCCTGAATACTTAAACGGTGACAAATCAACCATGTGGAGATCCTACAACAGAAATAAATGGCATTTATATTCAACATGATTACTCCCATTTCAGCTTTCTTTCTGTGTTTATTTTAATATATTGAAATGTACTTACTAAATTTGTAATGAAGTAATGAAAATTCTCTGTCAATGCATTACACTGCAATGCCTGTAAAAATAGATCATCTGTTGAAAAAGTCAGTGAAGTAAACTAAATGTAGATCCCGGTCGAATTAAAATTTTCTTTAGAGTAGAATTCAAACTGGAACTCCTGGTATTGGTGAGAGCAGTTTATACAATATAAGAAATATTCTGGGTGGATATAATATGCATATAAATACAATCATCATCATATGGAGATCTTTAATAATGGTATTATTATGGCTTAATTAGCCCCCCACTTTTTTTTTTCAAAGATAGACATAATATAGGCATTGAAAATTGGGGTTTACCTTTTTTTTTATCATTGCATTGAATTTAAAATGCCCCCCCCCTATTATTTTTGTTGTAGAATTTTACTCTGTTTCAATTTACTTATTGAGACTATAGATTAAATAGTAGAAGTCTTATTCTATGTAATATAGATTCAATAGTAGAGGTCTTACCCTGTGATATATATGTATAGATCTTGCCCAGTGTTTTATAGATTTAATAATAAAAGTCTTATCCTATGTAAAATAAATTCAATAATAGAGATCTTATCCTGTGTAATATATACATACTATAATAGTAATATATATTATACTGTAGTATCTTACCCTATCTAATATATGTAATATATATATATATACTGGAGATCTTATAATATATGTACAATGTTATGTAATATATGTACAATAATAGAGGTCTTACCCTATGTAATATATATGTACAATGCTGGAGATCTGGAGATCTTACTGTGTGTAATATATATATGTATAATACTGGAGATCTTACCCTATGTAATATATGTACAATACTGGAGATCTTACCCTATGTAATATATGTACAATACTGGAGATCTTACCCTATGTAATATATGTACAATACTGGAGATCTTACCCTATGTAATATATGTACAATACTGGAGGTCTTGCAGTCGAGGACAACTCTATATTCTTCATTGTCCTTCATTTCAGTAAACATGTTGTACAAGCTTTCTGGATTATCCTCTAACTTCCGGAGGTACACTTCTGTTGTCGGTTCTAACTTCATTATTTCTTGTGCTCGGATTAATCCTACAATAATTTAACTTTAGATTTTATAATCATTTTTTATTCTTTGTAAAGTTGGCAATAAGGGCTAGCTATGAACAATATTTCAGTTGCACCACAAGAGTTTGGGTACCTATATATCAATTTTACCGACATTTTCTATAAATTCAAAATTAATCCTACAATAATTCAAATAATTATTTTTTAAATATTTATTGAAACTTTCGATGAAATTGATATGTATGCGAACTCCTGTGGTTGCACAATGCACATTGCTAAGTGTGGTCTAGTGGAACTTGTACGAGTTTCCTCACCGTTGTCGTCTTCATAGAGCAATGTTAGATTTTTCCAGTGGAATTCCCGGACGATGTATCGGTATCCCTGACTCAGGTTGGCGTAGCTTGGGTACAAATTGACAAAGGAGGGGCTTTTGTCTCTGGAGAAGGAATTCGTTATCAGGTCCCGGGGGTCCCAGTGAGCCTGTATAACCGGTATCTGGAGACCACGCCCTATTGACTGCACGTGATTGGCTGACGCTCTACTGAAGGGACCAAAGATGACTCGACTACCGTTCCGTATAGAATCACATACTGAAAACAAAGTAGATAAAAAAGTTGTTTATGGTAGAGTTATGAGGTTATGATAATTAACATCTAAAGCAAAAAAATCTGTAAATCTATCACAAAAAAGAGCTTCATATGTACATGTATATATGATTATGATGAGGAAAAAATTGTTAATGTCATTTCATTCTAATTATTTAACCTTGCCTTCCTGACTCATAGGGGTCGTCTCCCCTCACTGACTGGGACAGGAAGTTGGCCGTGGGCACACCCGGGTTCCTCAAACTGTCCATATTTAGTTCCTTCATCGCCCATTTGAACATGTTAATGGCGCCGATACTGGAGTCTCCGAAGAACCCATCTGACAGAAAAGGTAAGTCATTGCAGATGAAACATTTAGAGGTTTTGTCCTCCCCCCCGATACAATCAAAGCAAGGTAGGAAGATGAGACGAGACCAGTATAATGTATTTATGGGAATATTCATAGTCTTTTTACAGATTATAATGTCTTGCAATGTCTTCACAATGTCTTACAATGCCTTTTAAATGTATAATAATATCCTTATAATTAGTATTTCTTTTCTATGTTTAACAATGTCTTGAAATGTTTTCACGTCTATACAATGTCTTGGACTTGGTAATGTCTAACAATGTCTTAAAATGTCACTTTAATGCCTAACAGTGTTTACTATGTCTTAACAATAATCTTACAATGTCTTACAATGTTATATTCTCATGTAATTTTTTTTTTTAAAATGTCTTAACTATGTCTTTCAGTGGAATTCATATCAATGATTTTGACAATGAATAATTCCGCTCTGTTGCTTTGTTGGGTAAATCATAGATAGATGAAAGTTGAACCCATCCACGTCATGCCTATACATTCAGAGATGAACTTGATCAAATTTTGGATGCTGTGTTTGAAGTTTTCTTTTCTTGCTGTCTGTGTGCTCGAACTTCTTTATTACAGAACGTTTTTTTAATCGTTGTATAAATTATCAATAATAAAATAATGCACGTTTATAAACAGCTGAAAAATAGATTTCCAATTTTCACCAGCTGATTCTAAATGGATAACACACATAATATAAAAGATAGCTACCGCAGGCTTTTTGTGCTGGGGAGTTAAACAACACATGTTGCTGGAGTATATTGACTGTAAGAAGAAACACGTGCATTACCTATATACATAAGTCATTAGTGGTTCTCCAGTAGAGAGAGAGCGCATATCGTGTGTACCAGACAGGAATCACAAGTTATTGTATCAATGTACCAAGATTTCATAGATACCAGAATGATGCGAATATTTTACCGTACATCAGCACGACTTAGAACACACAAAACTGAAGATTAGATAGTTCATAATGAAGGAAACGAAATGTTTTTGTATGTATTTGCTAAAAATACTGATTTAAACTTCGTAGATGACTTTAATTCCTGATTAGTGAAAATTAACTCTCTCTGATAAATCATTAAAGAGGATTACTAAGTTTTACTTTTTAATAGCTCCTAAAGGAGGCGTTCCGATAGACAATAATAATAATAAGCAGCGACGTAAGGTTTTAATCATATAGATTTAATACCTACCCACTCTGAATTGCTGTATAGTGCCTGCGACTCCCGGAGACAAAGACATGAAAATCAGTATCCAGTACATCTTAATGTTTTTCCTCATTAACATGTAGGGGAACACAAGCGTGTAACAGGCATACCGCTCATAAACATCACTTATTTATCATAATATCAAACATCTCAAAATATCAAGCGAGTAAATCACGTCAAATCCCGATCTTAAAATAATCGGATTTAGGAAATAAAGAATTAAAACAAGATATCACACGCAGTTAGATCCCTCTTCTTTAACTGTTTTGGGAGTTCTCCAGGATTTTCTCTGCTGATGTTAGTGTTCGGTATGTTGGTTGTTTACTGGTTACAGATGTGCAGTCATTAGCATAGACATTGATAAATCATATACAACAAAACAGAGCTTCCTACTTAGCCAACAGTTGCACTTACAAAAGTACCGACGCGCATTTATTTTTAACAATTGATACAGCTAAGTTATGTCAAGATCCAGTGCACAATGTCAGTTTTCAATAAAATGTATATTTTTAAAAAAACATTTTCTGTTGATGATTTATTAGTAAATGTCAGTAAAGTTATTCGTTTATTCTATTAATGATGAATTGTTAATTATATTTATCCACTATTATTATATAATAATGTGATTTGACCATGTTTCAATACTCACAGGAAAGACAATTATTTTTATCGTTTTCAGCTCACATGCATTGTTTAAAAAAAATAATAATAAAATACATATATATATATATATATATATATATATATATATATATATATATATATATATATATATATATATATATATATATATATATATACTTTGTATTCATTTTCTTACTCTGGACACATTTAAATATTAGGTACAACCTTTGATGTAATCGCATCTGTGGGGAAAAAAATGCAGAAGTCCTACGTGATAAAACATCTTTCTGAGCATTTGATATGTAAAATTGTGTTTTAATAGTATATTTATATTACTGACAAAGCACAACAAAAATGTAAATATATAAATACAGCATAAGGTTAATAACCAAAACGTGTATTTTTACAGCGCATATACAATTGGCACACGACTCTAAAATCAACAAATAACTACCTTAACTTAACTTTAATCTATCGATCTATTAATTTCTTTTTAGAGATGTTTAATTATAATACAAAAAAGTCATATTTATCCATTATATCTGTAACAATGCATTCCATAATAAAGAAATGATGAAATTTTATGAATAGCCAACATACTTATAAATAGAATTCAGACAAATACAAGATTTGTTTGTGAAACACTGATGCCCCCGTATGGCAACATTGCGAAGATTAAACTTTTCTTATATGCAAATCTAATATATTGATACCCAAAATAGGATATTCTCACTGGAAATACAATTGTGAGATACAAAAGAAGGCCAAGGTTAAAGTTTTTTTCATAAGTACGGAAATCTCCAAGGTCAAGGTCAAAAATCAAGGTAATTGGTATCCAATGAAAGGTCTTTTCACAAATAATACATATGTGAAGTATGGAAGTTCAAGCCATAACCTTCAAACGTTGTGGCCAAGGTTACCAATTTTAAAAAGTAGGTCAAACTCCAAGGTCAAGTTCAAGAGGTGAAAGTTCTTGATATCAAATAAAAAGGTCTTGTTACAAGGATTAAATATGAAAAGTATGAAAGCACTAGCCCTAACCCTTTAAAAGCCATGGTCAAGGTTTACTTTTTAAAAGTAGGTCAAACTCCAAGGTCAAAGGGTCAAAGTTCTTGGTCTCCAATAAAGGGTCTTCTTACAAGGATTAAATATGTAAAGTATGAAAGCACTAGCCCTTACTGTTCAATAGTCATGACCAAGGTAAAAGTTATTCTATAAGTATGGAAATCTCCAAGGTCAAGGTCAAAAGGTCAAAAGGTCAAAGTTGTTGATATCCAATGAAAGGTCTTGCCACAAAGAATACATATATGAAGTATAAAAGTCCTGGTTTCCATTGTTCAAAAGATATGGCCAAGGTAAAAGTTTGGAACTTTTGCGTAAAAGTGGGTCAAACTCCAAGGTCAAGGTCAAGTGGTGGTACACAGAAAGGTCTTGTCACAAGGAATACACATGTGAAATATGAAAGTCATAGCTCCACTAAATCAAAAGTTATGGGCAACGTTAAAGTTTTTGTGGACAAACAGACAGACAGACGGATGAACAAGACAAAAACTATATACCCAGAAACTTGTTTACGGGGGCATAAAATTTTATCTTCAATACATACTTTACACCATCTTAATTGTTGCGCATAACGGGTCGGGTTCGTGAACGATATACCTATAAAGTTCCATTCAAGCGTGTTCCTGTGCAAGTTATATCTCTTCTTTAATTAAATTACATTGGGTATCCCATTGTCGGAACCCAAAGTTTTTTTTTTTCTCCGTTACATTACATTCAGTTAAGTACAATATAACAGAGAGAAAAACCCGTGGGTTCCGACAATGTGGGTCTCCGTGTTTATAGAGCATATTTAGGATCGGAGATATTGACTTACCGTGGTTATCGACTACAAAATGACGAACCTTTTGTGAAAATAAAATTGAAAATACGCTTCGAAAGCCCGCTAAAATGTGTACATTTTTCCGATGGTAGTATTTTTATGGTTCATTCAAGTTTGTAACTCTTGCATCTGACGTATTTACTGTATTATTTTTCCCTTGTCTCAGTTTTTGGTGTTGAAATCTTAAAACGAGGACAGTTATTTATACATGTATATACAGCGTATTAACTGTATAGTTCTTAGCCAGAAAAACAACTGCAACTTATGAACTCTTATGATGAATATATAATAATAATAAAACAACAAAATTGTACATAATACAAAATTAATTTATTGGCTTATTGGCATATAGCAACTATAGCACAAAATAAAACTTGCTCCTCCCAAACGAAGTTCAAGAAAACTACTAGCAAACAAATGGATATTATTATCATGTTCACAATTTAATTTCATATCTTCGCATTCTTTAAAATATATCACTAGAAAAAAAATAATCTTAAATCTTAGGCCATTTTGTCCATAAAATATTGTAAACAAAGTAAGGAACAGTTATCCCTAAACTAATAATTGTAGAAACACTGTCTCATGTGCATCACCAAAATCTGGGAATTAACTTTTACTTTCTCTGGTGCAATATCCCAAGTTTGACAGTCCTGTTCAACATAGGCAATTTGAATACTAAAACAAAATATCAACATGTAAAAAATTCTTCATCTAAAACATTTGTCTTTGGAAACCATGCATTTGTATTATATAATTTTCAGGATGCATAGCTATGCATGATAATCTAAAAGAACTTCTCTAGTAAACTTGCGTGCATAGTCGCATTAATAGTAATTCATGGACAATAGACACAAATAATGTACAGTTATTCAAAATAGATCAACAGAGAAATACATGAACTCTGATGGCGTATGTATATGTACTAAAATGTATTTACATGGTATAAATTATGAGACAAATTGTAAGAAAAAAATATTCTAAATATCTAGATCGGAATGTCACATTGCACACAAATTAGATGGTTTTATATGCAAATGAACTAGTAAGGCACTTTAGACATTCAATCATGTAATAATTCTTCAGAATTGGTGTTTTCAAACAAAACAGGTAATGATGGCATTCACTTTTGTTAAACATGATTATGCATAAATGCAATACATGTACATGAATTTGGTAGATAATGAAACAACGAAACCAAAACTCTCATACAACCTAAATGTACTCATTTTAGATGATGTTTTCGTGTAAAATTCCACAGTAAACAAAAAGTATAAAATCCTCGTGTAAATGATTGTCTACGTTATGGTTTTACACAAAACATTCAAACACTAATGGCTACGAGAATACATCCTGACGTCCATTGTTTTTATAACTGTTCAGAGGCATGCTCTGTAAACCATTGTCTGTGACGTCATAACTTGGCTTCCGGTGCACGGGTTTGGAAGCAGAGTCAAAACATCGAACTGCAAATCGGAGTTCCTCGCCAATTTCCGAACACAGGGATTGCTGTAAAGTAAAGTCATACAGAACATTATAGATTTTGAAAAAATTAATGAAGAGACACGATCCAAAGCTCAATGACATCACAAAAACTGCAGATTTCAACAGCTCTCACCAGAAAGCGCGCTACGGACGCTCAATTCTCACCTAATTGTGTTATTTTGTTAAATAGCCCTTCATCATATACAACAGACTTAAAAATTGAAGAAAAATAGTTCCATACATCTCAGACTGATTTTCATGATGAAGTAAAGTAATTTACAAGTAAAATTGATGCAAAGCATCAAATCGGCCGCTAACATATTTGGCATGTCAAAAAAGTACTTTCACAATTCAAAGCATTCATGCAAGAAAAGCACAGGATATTCAAAGTTGAATTTATAGTGATAATTTTTATTTCAGGCCGTCTTCAAAGCATTTAGATAAATAAATATTTTAAAAAATTTAATAGAAATTTTAGTGCATTTACTCAACCAATGGACTTATAGATGTAAAAAAAAAAAAAGAAAGGTCAATGATGAAATCAATGAGACATTATTGGCTTCAAAATGAAGATGTAGGTTCACCCTGGATTTTAGTCATGGGATAATGCCTATTTATTACATTTTTACCCGTGAAATACTGTAATTTATTCATTGAATAAAAATGATATCCTGTCACAGTATGAAAGGATATCAAAATGATATCCTGTCACAGTGTGACGAATATCAGAAGTGCGGGAAAACTCTCAATATCCCTTCCCATAACGAAGATTGCTGTAAAAAATATTCCTTGACTTAATATAAATAGATGGAAATAAATAAACCATTCTGACAGCGAATAAAACTGTCAAATTACCAAAAATATGTTGCTAAATCCATATTTACAGTGTTTTCACCTCACTTAGCTATGACGTCTCAACCGCTCATTCTATGACGTCACGAGCCTATGACTGTATTACAAAAAGACACAGGCAAAGGAAAAATCAAAGATTTCTTCTTTTTTTTAATGTAATAAACAGAAAATTCAATGTTTTGTAGTTGAATATGAAATTTATTTCACTCGTGATACAGGATTTTTTTGATATTTTCACTCGTGCTTCGCACTCGTGAAAATATCAAAAATCCTGTCCCACTCGTGAAATAAATTCCACATTCAACTACAAAACATTGAATATCCTCTATATGGTTTCTGCAGAGTAGGCTATGCTGCATGGCGCGGTGCAAAATGTATAAAAATATATCTTTGTGTCATTCGCGGCTGTAGCATTTTAATACGTTTTTACTAGTTGAGCAAATTTTCAATTTGTTTATTCACCATGCACTTTTACCACGTACAATTCATGATTATCCGGAAAATCACGACGATTTCCTTTCGTATCTTACACACTCCCTGGATGGGGAATACCTATTGTAAATTCTTTTTATTTAACCATCAATTATCAATTATCTTATGCGAAATGATAATGAAATTGAAACATAATAACAACGATTAAAACTTAGTTTAAAGCAAGTTTTTAAAATATTTTACTCATGATTTTATACGTTATCATCTGAGAATTATTTTACTGATCTAATAAAATAATAACATCTCATTTCCCCATGTGCACTTTCTAACACAACCACAGGCCGATAATAAAATAGTCTTTATTCCCTTTTGTAGTTACGCTACATCTAAAAGATAAAATATAATTTATCAATTCGGGCTTATTTCTTTAAAAACAAATTAATCAAATACAGCAAGAAATGTCCTATCGCTATCATGAAAAATGAAGAGATTTACGAGCTTTGTTTTCACACATTATATTCTATAACTCCTGCGTCTACTGGGTCGTTTTTAAACAATTTTTATCGCAAATTCGAATTTGTAATAAAGTGAAGAAAAAATCTAAGCCATTATTATACTTATTTATTTCTAAAGAACAACTTTAAAAAGAAAGAAAAATTGCATTATTGAACATTAAAAACAAATAAGAAGCCAAATCTCTATCGAGATTTCATTACTCAATTCCAACTAGATTTTTGAAAAGCAGTATACAGAGTTGATCATTGTTACGTAATCGATGATCAGGACTAAATCTGAGTAGATTGACCGAGCTATCTATCGGTGTCTGATTACAAACGATATCTTCTACCCCTAAACAAAACTAACAAATTATGTATGATTTATTTGATAAAAATTTGTGTAGACACAGATTCCGTCATGATAGCAGCATACAATGCTAACATGCAAACATATAATATTTATACATTTAACCCTACATTATGTCATTATTTAAAAGTACATGCAAAGATTAATTAGATTAATTGAAGTAATGGGCATTCATAGAGTCTTCTGGATATAAAAAGGGACTGCTTCAAGGAAAATATATTAAAATTATTACAATAAAAGCAAAACAAAACGCAATCCAAAAACTGTTTTGCTGTTGAAATTACTGTATCTTAATGTTGTCAAGTCACAATTGATTGGATTTTAACTAAATATCAGAGCCTGGTAACAAATAAAGATTCCTGCTCATCTAAAGCTTCCAGATCATGAATTCTTCCTTGGAAGAATGGGAACTCCTTTAATATGATAAAAAATCATTTTATTTCATATCGATTAGATTCTGCTTGGTAGGTAAAAGCTTTATATACCCACCCTGTAAACCTTCCTCAAATTCGTCGCATAGAGTAAAATTACATAGTTAACCTGTTTTTTTTTCACATTGACAATATATATCGAAATCACATGACTCCCGTTAGCATACTGACCTTATCTACTTTGGCGTTTTTCCGTGCTTTCCACAGAAATTCAAAGAAGGCCACCACAGCTCCCGCCATTGTGCCTGCTATCAGCACCACAAATATACCGCCCACATTTTTAATGGTGAGGGCGTTAGTCTTTTTCTGGGTGGAATCTAAACACTCTCCGTCTTTATTCTTTTCCTTCCACCACGTGTTGTAAAACTTCTGGATCATTTGATCTTCTTGCAATTTTAGAATGACACTAGAAATTTTGTCTCTGTATGGCGAATCTGAAGAAAAATATATTTACCGAGTCATATGTTTCTATATCGTTACTGATGTAGTGTATTTGTAAAATACCACTTCAATTTACTACACGTAATTCGGTTGTTTTAATGGCCAGTCAATATCTGAGTTAGATTAAATTCTGAATTAAAGTAACAAAAAAAAAATATCCAGCACAAACAACAATTTTCACCAAATTCCCATTTGTTTAATTTAACCTCGCTCGAATTCGTCCTATTTGCATTCACGCATGCGCACTCACCCTGAGGAAGTCCAATACCATAACCTTTGGAATCTAGCCATTGACCGACCTGCATCAGGTCACAGTTCCGCTCCACCATGTACTCTATGGTGGACGACTCCGCGAAGTAGGCGTAGTCCCCCTCCAGCACACGTGTCTCTCCGTCCTTGTTACTGGCCACAAACACAGAGGGCGTGGCCGACTTCATAAACCCCCACATTCTCTGGTAGGTGGGAAATTTGGAACGCTGAATGTATAATGAAAACGTTATCTATATTTGGAATTAATGATGAAAGGACATACTTTTTTCCATGGAATTGTATACTAGGATATGTACAATAAGACTTAATTGTAAAAATAAGCTGTGTCCTCTAGTTTTGTTTTGCCAGAATCGCACCGGGTACATTCAGGGTTACACAGAATTACTAAATATAAAGTGCAATACGCATTATTGTTAATGAAAATAAATGTACATGTATTCAATTTTCCTTAAAAACTACAAGACAAATTATCTTTATCTGCACTATACAACCCCGCTACCGTTTCCTTTATTTTTCTTAATCAAATAAAATTTTTCAGCTAGCTACATGAATGTAATTTTTACAATTCAATCCCTCTTATAATACTTTCTTGAACTTGCAATTTACTATAAATCATGTAAGCTTCATTTAATTTTTTCCATATGCTCTATTAACGTAAGTTCTACAAAAATCCGAGACATCGTTTTATGTTAAAATTATTCGAACCTCAAAGAATGACTTTGTGCTTCCGGACCCAAGACTTCCGTATTTAATTTTGGTCTGTTTGGAGAGATCCTCAGCGCCCTCTATCGGTGAAACCATTTTCTCGATGGTAAGGAATGCCGCTAAGTTGGCGGTGTACGAGGAGATGATAATGAGAGTGAAAAACCACCACACACCCGCCACCATTCTGGTGGACACAGCACGAGGGGCGATCTCACAACCTGAAATGTAATACAGTGTTCAACATCAACTGAAACATATAGAGATAATTTGGAGTCTACAAATATAAAATAAGTCCATATCTTCAGAATTGAAATCTGCAAGAACATGTAAAACTTAAAAATTAACAAACTGTTGTGAAGTTTTACTAACCTTGCTGCATGAAAGCCCCAATGGTAAACCAGAGACTGTTGAGTACTGAAAACTGGTTCTCCACCACGTCCGTGTTGGGATCACACGGGTGCGGATTACACCATTCATAGGGCGTGAATCGCGCAATGACGAACATCATGAAGCTAACACACAGGTACACAGCAATGACGTATATCCACACCTGCGTATCTAAGGGCGACAAGAACGAAAACAACTCTGGAGGTTCTGGTTTGGGTTTCCGGAATAAGATCGTGATTCCGATATTCCAGAACGGTTTAGTGAAGTCTATCACTCGCTCTCTCTCGTACGTGATCGTCATACCCGCTACAGCCAAATCAGCTCGCTGTAAAAAAGAAATAAACTTTGTTTAAGTTATTAAAGAGTATATTCATTTTCTTCATTCTTCATATATCAAACCTCACTGTTGGGAAGCAATATAGTTTTAGAATCTTACCCTCTCCACGAGTTCCTTGACCATCCCGTTGCAGACCCCGTGTTCATCACAGTTGCCGTACTCATTTTTGGGAGACACTTGGATCTCGTACCGGAAGCCGAGGTTTCGGGAAATTTCATTCAGAAGGTCTATACAGAAACCTTCATAAGTTACGATTCCATTCTCATCCACTTTTTGGAAGACGTATGGTGCGTCCTATAAATAAATTTATTTATTTATATAATTATAATCAATTAGTTTAATATACTTGTCTTTTATTCACATTACACATTTAAAAAAACAAAACCATGATAACTGGACGAGTTACAAGAAGATTTTTAACAAACAGAACTATATTTTGTTGTCTGTAACAAAGACTATTTTGTTGACATACCAGTACGGTAGTGACTACTAGGGTCTTGTTGGCTAACTGGTCACTCATTTTCTTCGTGTTTTCCTTGACATCCTCAGTAATATTCACCAAATTTTTGGGATCCCAGGTACCAATCTGAACAAATCAAAATATCACAAAAATGCAGTTCTTTCTCCGAATTTTCAATCATCTTCATGCAGATATAGCACATTTTCAAATAAGTGAGAGGGTTAGTGATATTTCTTTAAAAATTGTATTCAAATGGATTCAAATGTTAATTAGACTATACCTTTTTGAGTCCCATTTTGTCGAGTTTTGTTATGTCTAGCGTAAAATCACTTCTTTCGCCATATTTTCCAAAGTGGATCCTTCCAGTTAGTCCCTCGAAGTCCATCTGTACCAAAAAAGGAACAATGTTATAGTGTACCAAAAGGAACAATGTTATCGTGCAACAGAGGGAACGCTGGTATACATTGTTAACCAAGATGAAAAATGTTCTTGTGTACCAAAAGGAACAATATTATTGTATACCAATAGGAACAATGTTATCGTGTACAAAGAGAAACAATGTTGTATGCCAAGAGAAGAACAATGTTATCGTGTGTTGTTGTGAACAAAGGAATGATACTGTGTGCAAGGACTGAAAGGAGTATGTCTGTTTTACAGTTAATGCACGTTCATTTTAAGGTATTTGTCACAATTAAAGAATATACATGTATGTAAAATACAATACTGAGTATTTGTTGAACATGAAGAAGAGAGATATCAATAGAGGCAGTGAGTGTTCCCGTCTTTGAACTGACCGTTTTCATGTAATTAAGGAGACTCAGGCCGTCCTCCCAAGACACGGATGAGTTACACTGAATGTTTTGCCGGAAGTTCATGTTCTTGGCCTTCTGAACCCCGTCAAGACCACGTGCAAACAGGTACACTGCGTCATAGATTAGCGCCGTCTCCGTCTGAAAGAAAACCGAATGAACATGTCATGTTGTTTGTGATTTGTTTCTTGGAAATATTTCTTTTTTCTTTAAAAAAAAAATATTTTGAATTTAAAGAACATGAAACGAGTCATGACAAAGCGAAAAAATACGATTTTAGAACAGATATGCATTCTTTTCGCTCAGAATATAGACGATGAATACAGTAAGGATCGATGGATTCTGTCGAGATAAATTTCATTCACTTTTATTCACTTGCGGCACTTTAATTAAATACATGCATTCGTTAGTCGAGACAAAATATGAAGTAGAAATATTATGAGTTAAAGAGCATAATTTTATCTTTTTAAATACAAGACATTGAAAATATGACGGGAACCCAAACTTCTTGGGATTTCTCAAAGATATTAAACGGGAAATTTCCTTTTCCGTAAACTTATCATCTGAAATAAAAAAATTTCTCGATATTTTTAGAAGACTTAAACTAGAAAGGATCAAAATGCGAATACTGGGTAACTCAGCAAACAAATTTTTATGGATAAAACCAGAGGAGTTCTGTAAAAATGGTCGATACATCCACATTATCAACAGAATACATCCTTAAATATAACACGTGTAGCAAATGCACAAAAGGCGGTACAACACCGAATATTCTGAAATTAAATTAAATTTCAAAGGAAATTAAAATAGAATTATGCAATCTTATAAAATACGTGTACTAGCAGAACAACAAAAACTATTTAAAAGTAAATAAGAAAAAAACCCAGAATATTTGGGCTCTAACATTGTCAGAGACAAATATAGATTACAGGAAATCGTGCATAATTTTTTTCCTCAGTTTACAGTGCCATAGTTCAAAAAAAAGATAAAAAGACAACAATAATTGTACTCAACAAGAAATAACTATAACCTACCAATGGTAGATATGAATCATTTCGTGGATAAAAATCGTTTGCCTTCATTCCAAAAAGGAAGCATTGTAAGTTATAAAAGGAAGAAAAAGTTAATAAACTGGATTTTCTAGAAGACTTAATATTTACTTAAAAATTACCAATACAGGTACATATATTAAAAGAGTCTTCTATAAAAATGTCAATGGGTCAAAGTCTTAGAGTTAGTATTTAGAGCTTGCGGACTATAATGCATACATTTTTATTATTTTTATTTTTTACACAATACAGATGATTCTTACAGGAATTCCTGCTTGGTCCACGAGGGGCGAAGTCCTTGAACTGCTGCTGAACATCTCGTATTTCCATTCGCCAGTTACACCCGTCACCAGGGGGCGCTCAGGATCCACCAATCGCATGCCAGTGATGTTTGCACCTGCGTGCTTAAATTGCTCCAAATCAACCAAACCGAGATCCTGATAAGATAATTCAATTATGTAATCTAAACAGCTTCTTATTCAAATTTGTTCCTTCAAAATCTTGTTCAGGGTAAAATCCTACATCATGGCATTTAAAAATCTCTTTAAAAATGGAGATCAGAAACCTTTAATAACGACATGCTCTCATTCGTGGGCTTCATGTGTAAACAGAATATAGATTATTACTTTATTCAAAACGGAAATAAAAAAGAGAAAAATTAAAGTTACTTACAAGTGTTGTGAACAAATAGTGAAAATATTCCGATGCGGCATTGACTTGCAGGGCCTACAATAATAAAGACAGGGCTATCATTAAGTGTAATAACTAAAGAATCTAGTGCGCTGAATAAAAAATTTATGAAACTCGAAATCTGGAATGTCTTGATGTGTGTTTTTCTGAAAGGAAATGATTATATGGACTCCTTGATTAAAAGAAAAAATCCTTGCTGCTCTGACACTCACTTTTTCCAGTATAATCCCAACCCTGGAGACATGACAGTCTATTATTATCCTGTATTCTCCCTTTTCCTTCAGATCTTTAAATAAACTTATGTACGTTTCCGGATTGTTGTTGATTCTGCGGACGGTAACTTTAGTTTCCGGAACATTTGATGCCTTTAAAACTTCCTGTAGCCGAATTAAACCTAAAACAAAATTCAAATGGGAACAAAAGTATTAGTACAGAGGGGCTTTAATTGATGCTGATACTAAGGACTGACCGACAAAGTCTCAAAAGCTTTCACACTCCTGAAGTCAAATATGTTTTACGATTTTTATCCCTGAAATTGCTAACTTTTGGATTTAGCAAATCTAAAGTGTAAAATCATAACCTGTCTGACATTTTACATTATACACGCAATATGACTGTCATAATAAACTATCATGTATTGTATCTAACCCCTAACACGGCGATGCATTTAGACACATACTGCATGGTTAACTATATGAAAAAGTTCCATAAAATTTCCTGTCTGATTTCTTTAGCTGCTCCGAAGAAAAGTTGAACTAAGGTTTGAGAATTAAAGTAATAGCTTAGTTTGACAGGAAAATAATATCCTTAATCGGCAAGCGTACTTAATAATCACTTAGTCTTTCAACGAACGTATTCGATACACAACGTCCTCATCACTCAATTGTCCAATGACTTCGGCAGTGACATCCGATATCTTCTTCGCATAAATGTACTCATCTATTTTATTTATCAGTCCCAATAGCCCCAGTCTCCGAAGCTTACTTAACTGTTCCTTTTAACAATCATTCAGTCAATGTCCTTGGTCTTCCTTCATTTGCAACCCACCTTGTATTGTTAACTCGTGCTATCTGTTTATCTACCATCCCTCTAATATCTTAATACTTCATTACAAACTCAACTGAGATTTTCCACCTAACTTCCATAGGCGCTTGGGTCAAGGATACTGTATATTTTCTATATAATACATTGTCGAGGAAATTCGAACTTACTCGTAACATTTTTTTTCAGTGTGCAGTGTTAATTTTTAGTTTTTTGTAAACCTTTGTGCTTCATATACACTAGAATGTCACGGAAATTCGAGTTTATGCACGCTTTAAAAATTACATATCCCACTGTATACTAAAAAGAAACTTTCTTTTTAGTATACAGTGGGATATGTCATTTTTAAAGCGTGCATAAAATCGAATTTCCGTGACATTCTAGTGTATATGAAGCACAAAGGTTTACAAAAAACTAAAAATTAACACTGCACACTGAAAAAAAAATGTTACGAGTAAGTTCGAATTTCCTCGACAAAGCATTATATAGAAAATATATAGTATCCTTGACCCAAGCGCCTATGCTAACTTCCTAACAAACTTTGCAGGTCTATTCTCTTGTCATCCATTAAATATCCCTTTCTTCCTAACACACTAAGCTGATCTATTCTCTATCATCCATCCAATATCCCCAGTCTTCCTAACACACTAAGCTGATCTATTCTCTATCATCCATCCAATATCCCCAGTCTTCCTAACACACTAAGCTGATCTATTCTCTAGTCATCCAGCTTGTATCCTCGGTCTTCCTAATTTGTCCCTTACATCTTCAATATATTTTCACATTTGCTCAAGCAATCCATCCTTTAAACATCCATCCAAGTGACACACTCAATCACTCATCGGATTTATTCATCGGTCACCCACCCAAATTTTCCATTGGAATTTAGTATACTCACGTTTCTTTATTATTATACCAAGCGTATGTCAATAACTTCCTACATTTAATGATAATATTGAATACAAAGACAAGAACGGTGTACAATTTTAATCATACCATCATTGTCCTCATAGATAACTGTAAACTGTCTCCATTGCCAGAAGTCAATCAAATCCCGGAAAGCGGAGCTCAGAGCCAAGTAGTGTGGATACAAGTTTATCGAGAAGTGATCCTTATCCGGGTCTCTGGTATCCGTGATGACGTCACGGGGATCCCAATGCGCCTGGATGTGAGGGATGGCCAGAAATTTACATATGGACTGCACGTGACTGGAGGACACACGGGACCCAGGTCCAAAAATGACCTTACACCCGGCAGCAATTTCTCGACAAACTGTCAAATACAAAAATGGATTTCTGTAAATTGCTGAATGCTCTTTTTAGAAAGCAAACAAGATGTGTTTGTGAAACACTGATGCCCTCGTATGGCAACATAGCGAAGGTTAAACTTCCTCAGAATTAATGCAAATCAAATTTGTTGGTACCTAAAGTAAGGCTTTCTCACAAGAAATACAACCGTGAAATATGAGAGCCCTAGCACCACCTGTTCAAAAGTTCAAACTCCAGGGTCAAGGTCAAAGAGTCAAAGTTGTTTGATTTTAAAGAAAGGTCTTGTCACAGGGATTTACATAAGTAAAGTAGGAAAGCCCTGGCCCTAACCCTTCAAAAGTTGTGGTCGAGGTTTGTTTTTTAAAAAGTAGGTTAAACGCCAATGTCAATGTCAAAGGGCCCTAGCCCTTATCAATTACCATTCAAAATTTATGGCTGAGGTGAAGTTTTGTAAGTACATAAATCTCCCAGGTCAAGGTCAAAAGGTCACAGTTGTTGGTATCCAAAAGTAGGTCAAACTCCAAGGTCAATGTCAAAGGGATAAATATATGTAGTCTGAGAGCCCTAGCCCTTACCATTCAAAAGTTATGGCTGAGGTTAATTTTTTTAAGTACATTTATCTCCGAGGTCAAGGTCAAAAGGTCAAAGTTGTTGGTATCCAATGAAAGGCCTTGTCACAAAGAATATATATGTGAAGTATGAAAATCCTAGCCCTAACCATTCAAATGTAATGGCCAAAGTAAAAGTTTGGAATTTTGTGTAAAAGTGTGCCAAATTCTGAGGTCAAGGTCAAGGTCAAATTTGGTGGTACCTAAAGAAAGATCTTATCAAAAGAAATTGAAGTATGAAAGTCATAGCTCCACTAAATCAAAAGTTATTGGCAAGATTAATTTTTTTGCAGACAAACAGACAGACAGAAGGACGGACACAACAAAAACTATATACCCCCGAATCTTCGATTAAAGGGGCATAAAAATCATCTTGACAATTTAGAATCTGGAGATTTTTTTCTATAGTACTTTGAGAAGACTCAATGAGTTTCTTTAAAAGGAGTCTACCAAAATATGTCAGAAAAAAAGACAATGATTTGCAAAACGGGGAAGTGACTGGGTCTTTCTCAGAAAGTTATAGGGTTCATTTCTTCAAGCACCCTTGCTAACCCCCAGGTAAAATATTGAAAATCAAAAAAATATTGATAAAAAGAAATCAGGTTTGTTCAAATCACTGCAATTACATAAGTGTCGTTTACTGAATTAAATAAAATAAGTACATGACTTTAGTGTAAAGTAGTAAAGATAAAATATTCCGTATTCCTACACAAAAATCACTGACGTTTACTTACATTATACAAAATATGCCAATACGGTTCATTTAATGTACGTCACCTAAATTAATGTTAAGAATTCTTTTACATGTATTTATTTCAAGCTGTGTCATTTACTATGCTTCAGATACTTCATTTACTTTATTTTACTCCCAAAGGGTAGATTACTGCTAAAAATGCATTTATTATAGACAGTGATAGAGCTTCCATAATTAGAAAAGTCAAAAGACCTTTATGCTTTGATTTGTTCTTCATATCATTTCCATTCTACTGTATTTTTCTTAAGAACATTCTGTTAACAGACATTTATCATTAATCTGAAATATTTAGTTTATTACCCAAGGTTTTGATTGTGTCTTTAGTGCTGAAACACAGAATAGGGTACACCTGTACGTATGTAAACTTTTTCCGATATTTAGTCAACTATGTGGTAGATGTTTATGGAATTTTCAAAAATATTGTACTGTTATATGCTTATTATAATCAAAGGCAAGGGCCTAAGTTTTTGCTCGAGTCAATTGAGCTTTATACATCTGGGCACCATACCTTGATATATTTAGTTTATTTTGCATCTTAAGAGATTGAATATTATATGTCTTATCCATGTTCGGTTCATAAATAAAGTGTATATTGCTTTTCCTTTATAGGTATACAGGTCTGGCACTCATGGGCTTCCGTATTATTTTGACCGGATTCTATTATGAATTTAAGCACATTAGCTGAAATGGTCAGTGTTATGAAGTAATTAGGTTAAAGATTCCCACAGCAAATCTGGATTCTAAAAAAAGATTTTCAACAACAACTAGCTGCAGCTAATGAGAGCAGCAGGTGTTTGTGAGAGGGAGTATTCTAGGTCAATTATAAATAAACTTCAGATTGGAAGATTAGATCCCCGTAAATATTCATACGCAGTAATTGTACATCATACAGGTATTTAATCAAAAATTTCTTTAAAAGCATGAAGGCATAAATAATGTTACAGAATGAAATTTTACACAGTTTTTACCTCTTAAGTTTATACAATCACTCAAACCAAAGCATTTTTTGCTAGAACTATAATATTTGGCGTATGGATCACCTTGATGAATGCGTGATAAATTTTACAGCTCTGAAACGGCTATGTCGACAGGGAGTAGCTCGCTACGCGAGCCAACTCAAAAATGGAAAGTAAAATTCTGTACCAAATTTTGCTCGTTTTTCATTGAATACCTTAAGAATATTTACAATGCAGTGCAGCTTTCTTCATGCAATTAACGGGAGCCTTTTTCTAATTTTTCTTTTGATTTTTTTTTGGGGGGTGAATTCAATTTTTTATTTTTAATAGTTCATGTTTATGCAAATTATCCATTCAATTGGTGAATGTGTGGTTTCAGAGATAAGAGAAACAGGGTAAAAGATGTGTTATTTTTTTCTTCGTTAAATCCATATTACCCGTGCATCTTCTCTCAAATCCCTATTAATTTCAGTTCGACGCGAGAATTTATATCTCCTCTAGCATGACGAGCTGTTCGTTCTGCCTTGCACGTGTCAAGAAATAAACGCATTCTTAAATCAGGAATGGTTTACAAAAACTTATAATTACTTGCACGTGATTTCTTTCTGTTCAATTTATGAAACATTTAGAGACGAATTAACATTATAAGAAAAATATTTTTTTTGAAAAATCGTTAATGAATTTCTGATGATAAAAAGAAATTAAGATGTCGAAGCGCTTGAAAAAAAAAACTTCAGATGTGTTGAGATAAATGGGTTACGTAATTTGCAATCGGGAATAATCTCTCCAGATCTGAGGGACTAGCAGGAAAATCCCATTTCTGGAAAATTACACTTGTTTTTTATCAGTAACCAAGTCCGCAAAAAACCTGATGTTTTTTTCACTACTAACAAAGGAAAATTAATTATCAATATCAGTTCATCAAATAAACAGGGAAGAGATTGTAATATTATTCCAAGACTACAAGAACAAGACGCTAATTTCGTTTTTACATGTACAGAATGTAAAATGAAAGGGAAGACAAATTTTGTCTTACCAATGCTCGTGTGTTGTGTGTGTGGAATTAATGACATCCAGATGCCGACTCAATCATCTAGCCATTATCTTGGATTCATCGCGGTTCTATCTGATATAACCCTGCTATTCCCGATAGGAAGTCGCTATCTGCCCGCTATACTTTCACACCAGAGAAGTGTGCAGCATAGTTATTTTTTTTTTCAAAAGGGAAAATTGCAAACAATGCCTTCTTAAACTATGGTTCAAACCATTCATGTTGCTCTGAAACATCTGTAGCACGGTATTTGTTCTAATTTTCTAATTCTTACTGATAGAGATACCGGTACATCATATGATAATCATTGAAAGGGGTTGCGATACAGTCTAGAACTGATGGTAAACCGAGACCATATTAATCTCCCAACTTCTGGTTGTTTTTTTTTTTTTTTTTTTTTTTTTTTTTAACGAAACTAAGCTAGAGAAATGATAATCTTTATAGTTTGTGAATTTTAATCATTCTGAAAATATCCACTTATCCAGTGGAAAAACAATCGTTTGTACCAAACAAATGACCATTGTTTATAATAAAATTCGTATAAATCAGAATAAAAACAGCTGGGGGATCTACCTTTCTTGGAGACGTCGAAGCTGTCGTCCGGGGTGACCTCTTTGACAATGTAAGCCACGAGGACCTGACTCAGAATGTCATTCCGAAGGTTCACTTTCTGCATAGTCCATTTGAAGGCCAGCTCCGCACTCTTGTGTTCCGGCTCAAAAAAGCCATCTAAAATGACAGTATAATGCATAAAAACACTTGTTACCCTTATTTTGAGTGACTTTTTACTATACAGTTTTAATTCATTTTAGTAATATTTCTGTTCATAATCTGTATTCGTTAGTACAATTCTCTGCCATTCTTGGACTTTCGGTAAGGTGTAGCATTCTCGAGGCTACGTAATTAACGTCTCTCAAATGGCGAATAGATTCTCTTTGGTTAAGAAATTTATAACATCAGCAACTTAAAATTGTTGCTGACAACGATGAGTTAAGCTCCACCTCTCTGTCGTGCGAAATGCTATCATGGATCCTTGTTACACTTGTTGAAATCTGCCCGAATTTCTATCCAATGTATATTTCAACAGTGAATGAAAGCTACATGTAAATTTCAGACGCTAATTACGTAACGTCTAGAATGCCAAGTCTTACTGAAAGTCCAAGGATAACAGATAATTGTACTAAAGCCATCTTGACTCATTCAATGGCTATAGTAGAACATGGCCCTGTCTTCAAAGAATAACTTTGTTAAAATATAAAATAATGCATTAACAAATGTTGCATGTATTGGTCAATTTCTTTGGCATGTGATTGAGTCATTAACTCAACTTTTGCTTTGTAAGTAAATGTCTAACTTTGATCTGGAATATGATATGGTAAATATTAGACTTTTGTTCTGAAGTATGATATGTTATAATTTCTGAAGTATAATAAAGTAAATGCGAAACTTTTGTTCTGAAGTATAATAACAAGAGGCCCGCGGGTCTTATAGGTCATCTGAGTATCATATTACAACTTTCAAACAATTGAATTTAGTTCGTATTTAAAACCAGAGGCCATGAAATTCTCAATTTTGTAAGAGGCACCATTGCGTATCCTAACTATACACTCAGCATGCTTACTATGGTTTACTTAAAACCCAGAGGTAGATCAGAGTAACAAAGAGAAAATGCATTTCCTCTTTATAACCAGTTGTGCACCCGAATAAAGTAAATGTCAGAGCTTGTTCTGAAGTAGAATGTGATAAATGTCAAACTTTTGTTCTGAAGTATAAAAAAGTAAATGTCCAGAGTTTGTTCTGAAGTAAGATAAATGTAAGATTTTATTCTAAAATTTAATATGGTAAATCTCAGATTTTGTTCTAAAGTATAACATGGTAAATGTCTGAGTTTTTTTTTTTTATTAAGCATCTATTTAGAAAATGACAGACTTTCGTTTTGAAGTATAATGTAATAAATGCCAGACATTTATTCTGAAGAATAATAAAGTAAATGTCTGAGTTTGTTGTAAAGTATAATAAAGTCAGACTTCTGTTTTTGAAGTATAATAAAGTAAACGTCAGCCTTTTGTTCTTCGTATAATATCGTAAAATTGTCAAGCCTCTGTCCGTCGTATAATATAGTAATAAGGGTTTTGATCTGATGTATCATTTGAGTAAATGTCTGACTTTGTACTGAAGTATATAATAAGGTAAATGTCATTTTTTTTTTAATAAGTATAATATAGTAACCATGGTTAATGTCAGAGTTTTGTTTTTAAGCATATATAAAGAACATGACAAACTTTCGTTTTGAAGTACTAAATATAATATAATAAATGCTAGACATCTGCTGATTATATAAAGTAAATATCTGACTTTGTTATAAAGTATAACTAAATAAAGTCAGACTTTTGTTTTGAAGTATAATATGAATGTCAAACTTTTATTCCCAAACAAATTCTTCGATAAAATGAAGCGTTCAGACTACTTTAAAACAACGAAAAATAGACAATGCCATCGTTTCCATCAACTACGGAAGATAAAACGTCCGGATTATTGTTGTTCGGATTAACGATGCTCCACTGTATTTATAACACTACTAGTACTAGTATCTAAATCCCTTTCAATCGGGCCAAACATTTCTTCCTTGTTTTAAACGATGCCTCATCGGGCATTATTGTTCTTATGTTATAATTAATAAAACATATGTTACTGTTATAAAACTTAAGAAACAAGACGTTTATTACTAAGACTTGAATTATGTTAGTCATTGTTTAAAAGGCATTTTTTGGAAGATTAATGGTCTGACAAAATAGCAAAATAGATCGATATACACGTGCGCAGCATTGCGTATTTTTATAAAATGTTTTCAGTTAGGTCTTATCCAAATATTAATTAGAGTTTTAATCTTAATGAGATTATGTAACCCAACTGTTATGTCTCTGTACTTCGTTTGATTCCAGATTGATTTAAGAGATAGCTGTTCAATACTTGGACAGCGTGAACACAAAGTCTCTGTCATTTAATACGGAGTCGGTCAGGATAGTACTCCACGCCATGTTCACAGGGGATTCAAGAATAGAACCGACCAGACAAAAGGTTTTATTTATCTGGTTTGAGAGTACAGGTATAATAATGAAGAAACAGTGAATTTTTGGAAGGAAAAAAAAGCAGACAAAAATCAGTTGTTACCTTTTGTTGGTGTAAGTGCCAAAATGAATAACAATGTTGTCTATCTTTGTTGGTTCATCACTGACCTCTAACCTCGGATGTTGTCTTATAATGCACTCTATTAACAATGTATTTGAGGGGTTATTTTCGTGTCAAAAGAGCAGTATTTTTTTATAACCTAAGCTCATTGAAGCCGCACCCCTGGGAGAATAAATACCATAGTATCTTTGAGAGGTGGACATCATCTGAAATTCCAGCTTCCTGTTCCCTTGTCATTTCTCTTCGCCCAGTGTTTTTAAGTTTAATGTTATAAATTACAAAGTTATCATTTCCCAAAGGCCGATTTAGTTTTCAATTTTGTGTGTCGAAACACCGTTAATTTGTGGCCCTGATTGGATTACAAGTCGCTTCAGTGTTTTTAATACGGTTAATTTCGGGATGAAAACCCACCTCCAGCAATAATAAACTGACGTATGATCCTCAATTTCTCCATTAACTTCAAACTGATTGCTCGGCTCCCAGGGTTTTTCTTGAAAATTGTCTTTAAAATATTGGAATACGTGTTTTGTTTTGCTTTTTCAGTATTTTTAAAAAGTCAATGTGTCTTATTAAAGAATAAATCTTCTCCGCTGTTCTGGAAGAAAATTACTCATCACAAACCTGATATATTTGCAAATCCATTTTTTTTTTCAAATTCAATTTTGCTGGATTAAAATTTTACTAAAAGAAAGAAAACTAAGTAAACGTGAAAGATGAATGCGAATTGTGTACGGACTGCGTAAATTATGGTAAATAAAACACTTAAATTTTAGTATCTGGCATTTTTTAAAATAAAAACTTTTGCTCATTTAGTTTCTGAATGACAATTACTTCGTCCATAATGTAGCAATCGGTGATTTCTTTTAGCACTTTAAGATTTGTCGGTGTTATGTATAAACATTTACTTTACCTCTCCAGTATGAAAAGCGATAGAAAATCATGTGTACTCCAAAAACATTGCCTTTTAAGTACTGTTAAAGGTAAATACAATTTAACAAATCTAATATCAACAAATTCACAATGTACGCCATATAAAGAGAAAGAGGAGCATCAAGCACCTATGTTTATAAAAAAAAGTTTTGTGTTGGGCGGTTTTTTCGCTGGTATTGTCAATCTTTGTGATATTATTTCAGTTGTCAACGCTAAATAAATGGGTTTAAATTGAAAAGGAACTTTAATAGGCAGTAAAATGTCTTTAAATCTTATAAAAGAGCTTCTATTCAACCCCTCTATTTAGAAATCATTTAAATTCAATATTTTGAAGGTTCTGGGTGTAAAAATTTAAATTAGGTTCTGATTTTTAATTGATATTTTCCTATCTGTATACAAGCAGACCTCCATCTTTATTGACTCACATGAATTATCATCATTTGGTACTTAAAATCGGGATCGTGTAGTCCTGAGAAAACGATCACAAAGGGTCATGACTTTATGTACAAAGTTAGGCAGCATCTGGTCTCTGATCAATTGCTGTTTTAATATTCGTCCAGTGTCACTCGATACTAATTCGAAATCCCTTGTGTCTGGGGTTTACACAGATTTTTAAATGAATGAATGGATAGTTATCCCCTTAATTAATATTTACCACGACAATATGATAATTACGTACTGCTCCGGTATACATAATTTGATAATTTCAAGAGTTTAAATGAAAATTTATATTTTAAAAATATTTGAGGAAGTTAAAGATCACGGTCTGTAAATGAACTTAAAAATTGTGAGACCAATTATACTCATTGTTACGATGACATTCCACAACCCTGAAAAGCAATGCTACATTATTTTTTCATTTTTTTCAAACGTAGAACATGTAGTCAATATTTTCCAGTCTTAAGACAAGGCCCTTAAAATATTATTTTGGTGATGAAGATGAGTCGAACCATATTTATTCCTTCGTCCATTCATCCCTTTGTTTTCAGGGGATGGGTATAATGGAGGGATGATGAATGTGTAAATATTGACTCAGTAAAACTTACATCAGTGCTCGTTAACGCCATGTGCAACAGAACCATAACACATGGTACCGTGTTATACCGAATTCTGCGGAAACATGGACAATACTGGAGGATAAAAATACGTCAGTGCCAAAATGAAAATAACTAGGGAATAGGGAAAAAATCCTCAAGAAAATTTATTTCCTATACTCATGATCCAGGAAGTTTTCGACGAGAACACAGTTAACCTCATGAATCTCTTTGTCGCCTCTTTAATCAACAAACACGCGAGCGGCTCATCTTATGATAACAAAAATATAAAAACGTTTTGACGTTCATTACCCTAAACCTAACAAACAAACCTGCTACTAATAGAAAGTAGAAAGGTACTCACCAATTCTGATCGTGTTCGGGTATTGTTGAGTTTCACAGAAACTGATTAAATAGAATATCACAAATGACAGAAATAGTACACATCCGTGCTTATGCATTTCCAAATGAAAGAGAGAAGACTTTCACACGGAACACACGGTGTGCACAGCTCTTCTCCCTCCCTCCGACTCGCCCCTACACACAGAGCTAACGAACTCCCAGAAAAGCCACCAATGTGGCGTCATTAAAATTCACAAACAATGTTCATCTCACTAGGCGCCCTCTTCTCGCTGGCATCTGAAAATAAGAAAACGCTGTAAAAACTTCACACACAAAAAAAAACTTCACAGACCCATGTGACATTTTAAGCTGAGCTTTAAAAGCTACTGTCAATTTAAGCCTTAGAATGGAGTAGCAAAATAATGTTTGTGGTAAACTTACAAGTTTAAATTATATTAAATCTCGTATCCAAATGTTTTCCGTTAGTTTTGCCTTCTTGTTCGTGTGGCGGATTCTTTGCACTTTTTAACGGCAAGGCGAGGATTAGTAAACAGTAGGGATATATATCCTCCAAAGGCCTGTTGAATCAAACAGAACTCATTTCAAAATTACACAAATATTTTGTTAACGGCACTAAAATCAAATTAATCCTTCGATGAAATTGCTCTTACGCTGAAAACAGAATAAACCAGAAGCCTTCCGAAGTTGCCCCATAAGACAGCGGGGGTCGGATTTCACGTGGTCCTAATCGTTATCGGGGAAGATCTTGTATCGATGTAGGAAATTATATTTATATTTAGATCAATACATAAAATCTGGTGTCATTCGAAACGGAGGGTGATATTCAGACAGGAATTCCAGGGCAAATAATGTCGCTTCAATATAAGTTGAATTTTCTGTATATACTGCACAATAGGAATGCATCCAAGCATCCCATTATAAACGATCGTATCTTGTTCTTTATCGCTTGTCAAAGAAACAGTCGTATGTGTCTTGACAATTTCGATCATAAAAAGCAAAATAAATTATGTCTTTGGCAGAAGAAATAAGTAAGAAGCTATCTTTTTTATGATGCTATGTTTAATCTTAACAAATTAAGGTCATAAATTTGGACAATTGTTGATTTGATTTGGGGGCGATACTGCCCCAATATAATCGTATTAGTAACACATCCCCAACAATAAGAGATTTAAACTTTTTATTATGTAGATGTGTTGTACGATCAGTTTGTATAAAGTTTGATTACAGTGAACAGAGCTGATTTTAATTAGATTTAACAATCCGGACCCAATTGAGTAGCTTAATTAATAAATCATCAGCCCATTGCTGACCTTTATTAATGTTTAGCACTATTTGTATCATGTACGCTATTTTATCAAAACAAATATGATACTTTGTACAGATGTAAAATTACTTTGCAATTCGATCGAATTGTGCAATGCTGAAAAAATCTTGTTTTCAGAATGCTATATGACAACTACAAACGGAACGCGCCCCTTTTTCAGTGTATGTAAAATACAGGTGGTACAATATTAATTTGACTAATTTTTTAAAATGGAAAATGGAAAGTTAAAAGAAAGCATGAGATCGTCCTCCAGGATCATGAGGACAGACTTATAAACTTAAGTTAAAATCTAGATTTGGATAATCTTGGTGAAGTATGTGGAGATAGCGATCAGTATATTCGAGCGCTTTCAAAATCACAAAAATAGTAGAGTAGCAAAGTCTGACCTCCAAAACATCAGGGGATCATGTGCATGATTGTTTTTTAACCCCCCGAAAATTTAAAAGTTAAAAGTTTATATAAAGCAGAAGTACTCGTAAAAATATGTTGCTTTTTTTTAAAATTCTGATATGAATTCAAGAGTGATCATATTGATTCTTTTGAAATTTGAAAATTAAGCCTCCTCTCAGTTTATCATCTAATATTAGATACTGGTCCATGCAGGGATTATAAAACTTCTATATTAAAGCTGAAGTTGAATTTGTATATTTTACAAAACAAAGAGTGGAATCTCATAGTCCTTTTACCCCCCCCCGTGAACTTCATATTTATAGTGACTCTGTGTAATAAACTTTGGATCTACTGACACCCCTTAGTCCGTGTATACACAGCCTGACAGACCGTCGCCGTGGTTTATTGGGGAGACCCCCCGCTAGGTGTCAAATTGAATTCCCTCCCCGCGGCGGGGTTAACAGCTGAGCAGGGAGTCGTGTTGAGAAGTTCGGGGCCCACCCGTGATCGGGCAGGTTGCTTATTGATCACACGTGTTTTATATAATATCTATCCTTTTTATCTTTTTATCTATGACAGAATTCAGCTTGACACAATTAACCCAATATGACTTTCATCAGGGATCTATAAAGTCCCTGCCTCGGTTCGACTTCAGATTGGGGTTACTCTGACAGTATGACTTATAATCGACGAAAAACTTATAAAAGAGACCTCAGCCTAGCTGTCATCATATCTAACTATTAGCTGTTATTCAGCCATTTAAAACATTTACACTTTATATAACCAAAGAGCAATCACCGGGGTTAAGGAGGGTTGTGGTTCTTTGATTTAAATGTAAGTCAGTAACCTTTACAGATTGAGTAAATTTTATGTAGAACGTTTCCTAAATAAAAAAAAATTTTACAATCATGCAAAATACACGCTTTACATAGCCATTTATTTATAATTTTCTGTTTTTGGATCCTCTTAATCGTGACTTATTTACTCATTAATTATTATGATACTGACTTATTTATCAAATTATTTATCAATTTATTAAATTATTCATTTATTTATTAAATTTATTTATTAACTAATTAAATTATTTAGTTATCTATTAAATTATTTAGTTATTTATAAAATCATTTATTAAATTCTTTATTTTTTTTTATTTATGAAAGCATTTGTCCATTCATTTATTTATTTTAATCCAAAAAACTTTCATCAGTTTAATCCCTGTTTGTTTGGGTGATTTGTTCCGTTTTGACTGTCCGTACCTTTACAGCGAGATTTAAACACCCCAGTATTTGGATGATTTACTAATTCCAATGACTTCATGTCCCAGGTAGTCTAGTGGTTAGGATTCCGCGCTCTCACCGCGGCGGCCGGGGTTCGATTCCCCGTCTGGGAATAGTTTTTTTTAGCTTTCGAAATTACGTTTTGCAAAAAATTAATGTCACCTAAGGTTTCTAGAAATTTTGCTTCTCTTTTAAGGGGGTGTAGGGTGTTACATTTTTCACTCCCTCGCAGTCAGAATTTTTGTTTAATCATGATAATGGATACCATTTTATTTCTTTTTTTTAAATTAGCTTCTGGTCCCTTATGCACCATAATAACCTCCCAGTAGTCTGGTTACAAGAAAAAGCTGCCTAAAACTACTGGGCTAGACTTGCTCAAGTCTCTGTGTTTTAGTGCTCTATCATACTTTTTCATAATGTCAAACATAGAAAATCTATTTCTTTGATTGATAACATTTAGCAGAGGACAGCAATACAAAGATTGATTGATTGATTGATTGATTGTATGTTGTTTAACGTCCCTCTCGAGAATTTTTCACTCATATGGAGACGCCACCACTTGCCGGTGGAGGGCTACAAATTTTGAAATTTGAAAAAAACATTGTACTATTTATACGGTCTCAAAAATAACGTCCCGCATAAAAACATACTCCTTACTTCGCGAGCAGACGCTCTAACCACTGCGCCACGCGGGCGACTCAATACAAAGAAGAACAAAGAAATTTAAAAAATATATTTATGAAAAAAATGAATAAAAACAAAAAATTGAGCAAGTCTACTACTGAGCCAAAAGCATTAGTCTTTATTAAGTCTGAATTGAAGCGTTATCTTGCTTAATGTATTATTCTGCAAAAAAAGTACTCTAATAATTACTATAAGAACAGTCTGATTAAGACTGCTATAAGAATACATTTTAAAAAAAAAAAAAACATTATCAGAAATAATTCAAATATGGATGTGCTTGATAAATAACATGAAAATTTATTCACAATGTTGTGGATTAGATGCATGGAAAACATCAGGAAAGTTAACCGAATGTAGACAAATATTTTGATCAAGTGCGCTTATTTTCCCATGTAGAAGTGGATGTTAAAATTGTAAAAATACCGTCTGCCTGAATAAAGTAAAATTCTCCATTTATTGTTTTGAAATGAAAACCCTACAAATCAGAATGATGCTTCCTCTTTAGATATATATTACGGAAATTAACAAAGAAACATATGGGACTACGACATTAAAAGTATTCAAGCTCAAAAGGTCTTTAAACAATACAAATCTTGAGTAGAGCAAACACGGACTTACAAAACATCAGAGGTGGGATCAGGTGCCATAGAGAAGTGAGCATCCCCTGCCAACCGGTCACATTCACAGAAGTTTGAACGTGTTTACACATCAATCATCTTCTGATTGCGAGAGATTTTAAAAAAAAAAAAATAAATATTTCATCCACCTTGTTACTAGTATTTTCAAAATATGCACCATGACACATGAAGCCTTATTTATTCCATATTCCCATATAGAAAAAAAATTCTGAGCTCTTAAGTAACAAGTTCGTGAAGGTTAAACACGGCTTACAATTGAAAAAAAACAACTAATTCTAGCTATCTGGGGGAGCGCTAATGGCCCGATTCCCAAAGGAAACGTCATCTTGATTTGATTTCAGAACGTTACACAATGACACTATTAGTCCAATTTTATAGTGCACTTATATAGCCCTAGCTGCAGATCTGTAGCGTTATGGTTTTATATATTTGTTTAAAGAAAGCTACAGATCTCTTTAGCTAACTTAGCCCTGTCTGGGACCTAAATGAAATATTCTGATCTTATATTCCCTGAGATTTTTATGTTTTGCACATATTCCTATGCATGTCTATATGTAAGTAGAGTCCTGTCGTAATCAATTTGTTAACATTCTGTCCAGAACCATATGCAAATTTGTTACAGCTGTTCTTTCAACAATTGGAATGATTTCTATGTACAAAAACCTAAACCAGGCTTTAACCCCCCCCCTTTAAAAGGACTGAAATGTATAGTTGTAGTTAACATCGATGATTGTTACAGTATCTTATAAATGTATACAATTTCTTAGTTTATTTCCATGCCACCATAGCTACATGTAATTTGAAAATCCAGCTTATTGTATTATTTTGTTTGCACCTTCTCCAACAAAATGTTCGATCTTCTAGGAGACGGGTTTATTTGGAATTAATAAACAAGTTAGCCTCATAGATTGACCGAGAATTCTTGTTTAAAAAAAGTTGGACTTTTTTTGGCGACATCATGCAACAAAAGTATATTCTAAAATATCTTCCATAAAGAAATTAGTGTTTCGTTTTGTTAAATTTTGTTAATAGCAATCACTTGTACAATAAAATTCCATTAGCTAAGTCAGATCATCCAGAAGACAACAGAGTGTCACTATAATTTATTGTCTTTATCAAATGATATGTCTCGGTATTACAAATGGTTCGTCTTGTTCTGAGCGAATCTTAAAACATCTTACATGTGCAACACTGTCACGGAGTTCTGGCCTGGGGGCCATAAAACTTAGACGAGCTCACTTTTGATCTCAGTCTCACTTTTTCCAAAGGAATATATAGTAGAAAAGTGAGACTGAGATCAAAAGTGAGCTCGTCTAAGTTTTATGGCCCCCAGGCCTGAAGCCAGTGAATAACATGTGCTCACACTTAAAGAAATGTATTACTGGAAATCAAGGAGCAGCTAAAAAGAATTTATATCGTACAGTAATATGACTAGAAATCTCATCTCTTTACCTACACATACATGTATATAAGGTTATTTAGTTAACAAAATCTATCTAAAATTTCTAAATTCATTTTTTAATTGATCATGCAATTTATAGGCTGTATATATATATATATATATATATATATATATATATATATATATATATATATATATATATATATATATATATATATATATATATATATATATAGTTGTATAGGAGGAGTTCCGTATAAGAGATGGGCACCCTTCAATACTATAGAAAGAATGGCTGTGTCCATGTTTTGCTCTGGGAAACCCAAAATGTGCGTCGGATCAAAAAGTTGTGTGTCCGATCAAAAAGTAGGAGTTACAATGGTATGTGGCAACGCACTTTGAAAAAAAAATTTCAAAGTGCGTTAAAATTGGGACAAAATCAAAGCACTTTGAAAAAGATTTTCAAAGTGCGTAATTTTTCAAAGTGCGTTGTAACAATGGTACTATATATGTAATAGAGATTTCGTTAAAGTTTCATTTAATTTCATATTGTGGTAAAAGAGGACTTGTGGGTAAGAGATGGGTACTCCAAAGCGTAACAGACGGGTGGACGTACAGACGGACGGACATCCTGATCACTATATATACTAGTATACCCTCCCACTTTTCAAGCGGGTGTACATGTATAAGAATATACAGAGAGAATGCCATAAAAGAGCGGCGCCGTAATTCGAAGTTATTTCCGATGCTTGGTTCTGTTTTAACTGTCTGGATTTTCTTTAAACCAGAGAGCTGCAGATCGTTCCTAATTCAGTGTTGACGGCAGCTCATGCACTGTAAAAAATGCGCTTAGAAAATAAACACTTCCGTTACGTGTTTTGACCTAAACATGTATAAGATTGTGTTTAACGGCTAAACACTTAGGTCTTAACGTGTGTTAGATTGTGTTTAACGGCTAAACACTTAAGTCTAAACGTGTGTTATATCTAAATGATGTTAAGATTTAACACATGTTTAGATATAAGTGTTTAGAAATTGAACACTTTTCTGTGAAGTGCAGAGTTATCTTCCCGGAAATGACGCATATATATTCGAATGATAAATAGAGCGGTTATCGAAACAAAGAAAATCCCAGTGTTAGCTAAAGAAGATGGATGAAAGGAAGTGAATGCAAATCAATGTGATAACCATGAAGAGATTGTGAAATGCATTTAAAATGCAACATTACTGTGATTAAAGGTATGTTAACTATTATTGTTATTTTACATAAATTGACCACGATGGACTACGAAAATAGACATGCGTTTGCACATGTCGTTGTAGATCAAGATTCCCTTTGGTTATATTTTGCATTCCTGAAATCTAGAAAGGAGTATATTATATAGAATGTCAATAATATCTATAACGGTATCGGTACTAAATGGTGGTTAGATGAGGTTCAATAAAAGTAGCACAATAATAGCTATCAAACAATATCAAAAAAGTTCATACAACTCCAGTCAGTGAGGAGTATATTTTGATAAAATTTGAATTTCTTTCTTACAGGATATTGTTCACATCGAACTTGAAAGCAAAAATACACGTATCAGAGGAACTGTTGTCATCTCCAACGTCACAATGACATGCCATCGTTCCTACATTTTTCAACACTTCTTACTTTCTAGAGGAAACTGAGTTTTGTGAAGTCTGCTGTTTTGAACAACCTAAAAATATTCTCAAATAATGGCAGTGGATTACCTACTGACGGTCACGGATGAAAAAAAATTATGCGAGTGTTGTTCAGTGAAGAATTGCTGGAAGTTAAACTTGATACAGACATGAGGAATAACTGCTTGCAAATCTGATTAAAATTAAAACCAGCGTGTAAAAATAAATATTTAAAAATAATGTATATTTACTTTAAAATTCTTAATGATTAATCCATGTTTGAATGTTCATTGAATAAAATTTAAAATGTAAACAATCTTTTTTTTCAGTTTTCTTGCAGGAAGACAATGAAAACATCCAAGTGTTTAATTTGTAAACATGTTTCATAACATGTTTTGTAAAGTGTTTAAAGTCTAAACATGTAAGTGTTTAGGCTCTAAACACTTTCCGTTACACGTAGTGAAATTAAATGTGTTTAGAATTTCAACGCATAAAAAAAAGTGTGACAAGAAAGTGCTTAGGAAAGTGTCTATCATCTAAACACATTTTTTACAGTGTGCTATAAGAGTCAAAGACCTTAGACTATGAATGGATAAGAAAATGGCCGTTCGGTCATACTTTGTCTGCTGTTGCTGAAGATTTAGGTTTAATGTAGAGTCCAAACACCCCCTCCCCCTCAACAGAATCCTATTCATAGGTTCTGGATATTTAACTTAAAGATAAACAGTGTTTTCTACTCAAATAACAAATGAACCAGGCTTCCTTAAAGATTTTGCATGCCAGAGAATGATAACATAGCAATGAAACATTGTCTACAGCACGATAGAAAAGGAAAACCTATGTTCTAATTGCATATTTAAAAAAGTAATGAGATAAACCTAATAATTCTATTTTTAAATCTTCCTAATACCAAAGTCAATATTTATCATCCTTAGGTTTCCCAAACGGGGCAGCAATGAAGGCTAAATTGGAAGAAATATGATTTATCGTGCAATGTAATGGCATCGGGAAAACCTATAATCAAGCCTTAAGTAAACCGTTCCTCACTAAGAATGTCACAAGTAGAAAAGGTCCAACGAAACTCCATAATCCATCCTTCTGTACTGCGTGCAGCCTGTCAGTCGGACCCAACTCAGTAAAATGAGGCTTTAAAGCGGTCTCCAATCCGTGTTCACAAAAGGTTTTCCCCATGACAGTTGTTTGTCTGTTGGGTGTTATAATAAAAGCGTCTTTATTACATCGACTGACATCACTATACTTCATTTACGCGTAAGTGCAAAATATTCAATCAACATTTTCACTTGAATGAAAATGCTCGTTATAGATACAATTTGTGGTCATGACAAGAATCTTCTTTTGAGAATCCCTTTAGGCATGCGCATTATCAAAAAGAAGTAAATGACAGAGAGTTCTTTTGAGAATTCTTTGAGGTATGCGCATTATTAAAAGAGGAACATGACAGTGTGCCTTTGAGAATTCTATGAAGCATGTGCATTATTAAAATAATGACACGCAGTGTTGTTTATGACTGCTGGTAAATATTAACATACCTGGTATGACTTAATCAAAATCTAGAATTATGTAAATTTCAGAGTGGAAAAAATAAGCGAACGTGTAAATCGGCAAGTAACACAATTTCAAAATTTACTTCCAAACATTTTACGTAAGATCTTAGATAGGAAAGCACCTGATTTTAAATAGAAGCATCCTTTGGATAATTAGTGAGTACTTTTGCTTCCTAAGTTCAGAACAACAACAGGTTTAGAATCAGGTGTTTTAACAGCGCTGTATCTCACCATAGGAGAGATCTCCTCCTGACTTTATAGCGGTAATATCCTCTCAAACCAAGAACCTACTTAATCTACAGAAAACAAGGCTTGTTTACTTCGTCAATATGTTTTACAGAAATTTACTCAACTTACCTCCACAAAACAGCTTGGAAAAACAATCAGCTCCCGCTATTTCATTTATCCTATTCACAACTGCCGAATTTCACAGCAGCTTCAACTTTTTTTTATGATTTTTAGAATCTGGAGTAAACCCATGAAGGCACGTGTTCCTTAGCTGGCGAGCGTCCCACAACGTGTGTGTATGTTTTCCTAGAGCTTATTTCCTGCATCATCTTTGCATTGTGAACAATAATATTAAAATAGATACCCATATGTGCTATATGTCACAACACATTTCGTCCAAGAGAAGAACGTCCTGTTAATCCATAGAAAATTGTATTCGTTCTTCAAATGAAATGCTTAAACTCTAATTGACTTTAACGACGACCATAGTTGATCACGGACAAGAACAATGCTTTGAAAATCCTTTACATTGCTTACAGCAGTATCATTTTCCCGTACTTTTTTCCTCTCTAAAATTGACCAGCTTTGAAGTAGTCTAACTGGAATTAATCTTTAGGGTAAAAAAGCGGCCGATAATGCTTCTGATTACTGCTTTATTGATCCAGTAGGCGTAGAATTCCTCGACCTGTCATGGACCAGTGTGGACCGTGATTGCCGTAAGAAACGGTGCCCGTGTCGAAATAGAGACGACTCAAACGTCCAAAGTCTGTAAGGTATAATGCTTAAAACATAAAAATACACTGTACTCTATTAATTCACTGATATATTTAAAATCCCTTAAATTTTTTTCAGAGGATAATTTAACAATGACCTACAGCTAGAAGCTGCCAAAAAATGAACAAAATATGGATAATTTGTATCATTGAAAAGAATAAACGGACATGTTTTCCATAATATATTTATAACGAGATAAAACGTGACTTTTCTTAAGGTTTACAGGAAGTTAAAATACTTAGTAGCAAATAATTGCTGTAGCCCAAGTGAAAATTAAGATTGTTTCTTTAACTTTTTTTTAATGATGCATTCAAGCACTTTTATACTAGGTTATCAAATTGTGTGCAATCCATTGATTACTAAATTTATACGTTTTGGCGTAAACAATGCGATCATTTATGCTGGACAGACGTAAAAATTATTGGATTCAAGACCAATTCATTATAATTGTTGAACCTGTACTTGTCATGTAAATTTTGAATTTACTGGATATGGTAATACAGTACAACAGTACAAAACAGTGCACCATTTATAAGCATAAGTCATATAGTCATGGATATGTTACTGTTAACTTTTAAACTTTGTATACTTAAATTCTTACCTGTTTATGTTGTAAAAATATTATCAAAATTGATAAATTGTTGGTTTAAACAAAACAGTCAATTCTTGCAAATGAGACAGTAGACCTTAAACATTACGCGATCGTCTATGAGTTACATACATAAACAAGATTTTAATACGTGTATGCTGATTCCTTAAATAAGCATCCCAACGTTATATGAATGTAGCATTTTTTTCTGATTTTTTTCTTCGTTTAAAATAAATTAAGCTGATGGAAGCTGAGCGGAAGAAGAATGTCATTGGTTAAAGCCCTATGGAAATTAGTTAGACGATTTCACCTTATTGTACTGAAAAAAGTTTTTGTTGCTCGAAGGTGGTGATTTTATAGCAATATCACCAACAAAATGACAATTTCCGGTGCTGTATTTACACAAACCGTCTGAGTGTTTCCAATGATGTATTTTTGTCTCTAAGATCGAGAATAGAAATAAGCCTACAATTCCAATTATTCGTTTAACAGATTTATCTGTTTCTCCTATTTGTAAAGGGGACCGGATCTGGAAAGATGGTTTGTAACACTGATCTGATCTCCCAGAATGCAAATCCATTTCCGTACCGCTTTATGGAATAAGATATATCCTCCCTAGTTCACACACGAGTCATCCCGCCAGCGCTAATCACCTCTTCCTAAACCTAGGAGTTATTAGTTTAGCTAAGGTTTTATGGTTTTCCAATTATCTTCTGGATACAATGGCCAGTTATAAGAGAAGCCGGCTCGCAGACCATTCTTGGATTAGGCAAGATTGGCTTTTTGTTTCGTGGAATTAATGTACGCATCATTGAGTTGCTAACAAGATGAGACACCGATGGTAGACTGATACCGTGAGAGTTTAGATCCCCTGTCTACCCTATCTACTTAACCAACTGATTCACAGACAATCAAAAGATTACGAACTGATCGGCATTTTCTGGCTGTCTTACACAGTATAAGAACCTATTAATCTGCTATAGCATTGATGCTTATTGACTATATCTTAGCTCTTTCTGAATGAAATTATCGGAATAAATTGGATGTTCTTTTTGGTTTTATATAATGTTCAGCATAGGAATTATGAAATCCATGAATGAATACCCTAATCCGAAATGAAGAGTGAAATGTGATAGAATATCAACAAATGCGATTTATCAGAAAGAAGACAAATCAAATGGTTCGAGGTGCGGTACCAGGATGCTAGAATGAGGCTCCATGGTGTAAGTTCCTGACCGTGAGTGGGGAAACTTAAATTGGTTTCTACAGAAATAAAACGCCATAAGAACGAGGACTGACATAGAAGTTTATATGCACTCGCTGAATAATCTCTTATTCTTCTTCTAGAATATCAAGGGAATGGTGTATAATAGATTTTGTTTATTTCCCCAGAACATGAATATAGATTAAGCTTGATTTAATAAACATTTCTAGTCTGCTTCCTTTTATGACACTCAGGTCTATTTTCAGTTGGTGGCAATATTGGATGTTCACTTTCTCTGATATGAGAGAATCCATAAAATGTCTATAAATGACAAAAATAAAAATACAAGAATCTGTGGACCGGATCGAGTTTGGAGTCCATACAAACACTAACACCTGTACACAGATTCCAGAGATGGGGTCAGGTGCCTTGGAGTAAGCATCACCCGTTGAGCGGTAACACCTGTCATGAGCCTTGCGTATTAATCAGGTAAACGGGGTACTCAGTTGTCAACAAACAAAGGCCTATCAGTTGGTATGAAAAAAATCAGGCAAAATATGACCCAGCATTAGATTATTTTTGTTATACAGGTATTTGTTTGCAAGATTGTTATATCAAGCAAAGAATTTACAAATTGCTGATTTTAAACAAGCTTCATTGTAGAAATCCTTCCATTTCGAGTTCATCTGGATATTTCGAGTCGATATATGAATAATACATGGTAAAATTGATAAAAGTTGATATATACATGTATTTAAAAGTCGAATTAGAGGTCATAGCAAAGTTCTCAGGTAGAAGCTTTTGAAAAAATTCTGCTTCAAAAAAAAAAAATGAAAAAAAACAATGTGTGTTTGTGAAACACTGATGCCCCCGTATGGCAACGTTGCGAAGATTTAACTTTTCTTAAATGCAAATTTAAGTGAGCGTCTCAGAGAAAACCATGCAAAATGGCAAAAATGGTCCACAAGCTTACATCTCAAATATTTTAAAACTGGTATAAAACTGGAAGAGCATCCCATGAAAGTCCAAATTTTGAATTCAATTACCCCTCAATGTTGTTCTATTTTTAGCTTTGACCTATTTTATATAATGGCCCAAATATCCCTTGAAAATTGTGAAAAAAATACTAAAAACGATATATTTTGAGTACCAAAATATGAAAATAAGAGAACAATTCATACAAACTTTGTATTTATATGTAAGTTATCTATGTCTTATTCTTTCAATAAAACAAAGTTGCTTTGACAGTACTGCTTTAATAAAGGTTAGGTAGAATTTAGAAAACTGGCATATCTACACCTTTGCTAGATGCCTCAGAAAATGCCAAATTTGAATTAGGTATAAATATACCCGTAAACGCTTGTATTTTCTCCTTTTTACTAGATTATAAAACTAGAAGACCTAAATCAAATCTGGAAAAAAATCCATCTTTGGACTCTCAAGGTTTACTGCACAATTGATTAACATTGACCCATACATTTATGGAATAAGCATATTCTAGGTCATTCTTGAATTTATCTATATTTTAGACATTTAGACCCTAAACGTTTCTAAAATTTTGAATTAATTAAAAAAAAATATTTTCTGGCCATAAATACTTGTTAAATCAATATATTCCTTGTTTAAATCGGGTAGATAAGTTTTGTGTCTATGAAAAAAATTATGAGATTTACCTCCCCTTAAATGCAATCTCCAGGCAGAGGAGGTAGAAAAGAGAAGGGAAGTCAAATGGAGGTCAAAAACAGTGATCATGATGAGTTTGGTTAAACTTTTAAGATCTATGTGGTCAGATCATTTTAACCAGAATGACTTCCATTATTTTTATTGTTGATTTGATTTATTTATAATTGGAAATGGAGGTTCATTTGCAAGCACCACCTGTGTGTGACTTTCATGATGGTGAATCTGATTGTGATTTTGCCGAAATGTTTCATATTTATGAATGTGACAGAGATATTTTGAACCATCTATATTCTCTGCAAAGTGCAGAAATTATACACAAGCATGTTTATGATGCCCACAAATGCCCTGAGTATATGTTAATATTATATCGAAGTGGGTATTTCACAGTTGATAAAACCGTTCTATCGATGAAAATATGCATAAAGCACCGTGAAGAGTTGGGGGCAAGATGGAAAAGACCCAGGCGAACCTGTTCTTATCCTAGTCATCAGGGAAAGATAAAAGCAGACAGAGGAGCCAGTCCAACGTTGTGCAAAGAACTGTGGTTAAAGACAAAACAAATATTACCAGAAGGGTCAGGTTGGTTATAATTATTGTGAACCTAGTTATCAATTTTTCAATTAATGATTATTTTAAAAGTGCATTGAATTATGTAATGAAAGAGTGGAATAAATCTACAGTAAATAATTATAAATTCAAGAAAAATAAAGAGCTTATACATGAAGTAATTTGAGAAAATGACAAGTGATTTACAAACAGATCACTGCATGCAAGTAAAAAGACTTATATGGTATGTTAGGAATTTATTTGAAAATTACATAAACCATTATAATTTTTTTAAATGAAAAAAGGAGATTGTCATTTAGGCCCATTATTGGAAACTGCATTAAATGTTGTAATCTAAATTAAGACACTCATTGAAAGCTATATAATAAAATATTATCTATAAAAACTGTGAACAACAGGTGATCACTATTTATAATACATATGTTAAGCTTAGGAAATTTAATGGAATTGAATTTAAAAATAGTGATGTGTATATGCCTTAAATTAAGTTCTGTTTAAAAGAGTGTACTTGTACTTTGACATAATGTGCATTATTTACTTGTCTTGTAGCAATATGCAAGAGGTGCTCAATGGAACATAAGAAGAATGTCTCTCCATCTTACAATTTAGAGTTTGTGGAAGAACTTGGTAATTACTAATATTATATTTGTTAACTATACATTAGCTAGCTAATATGCATATTGCACAGAGATACATGTAACCAATTTTCAGATTCTAAATGCATGGCCATGGGGGGGGGGGGTTATTACTAGGAAATAATTTTCCCCATGTATAGAATACTGTAGAAAAATTAGCTACTATAGCCTATATATATACATGTGACCCCTCACAACTGATGACTTTTTTTTAGCCTGTTCAAGAAATTTTTGTTAATTGATAGTGCCCCCAACTCAAACTGATTGGCCTTGCTCCCCTTTCCCCCAACTGAAATTGCTTTCTATGAGCCTGAAATTTTAGGAAAAAAAATTGAGAATGACAAAGGGTTCTTTGCTTAATGATTTTATACATATAAGACAAAATCCTTTGTTAAGTAGAAAGTACTTGGACATTTTTTATAAAACTCATGAAATTCTGAAACTTCAGTGCTGCATGTATATGATATGCAATATAGCATGTATATGGTATGCAATATACCTTGCTAGTTTAGTACATTATTGCACAATGGCATGCAACTTGTGCCATTCCTGACAAATTGAATTTTTTTTTATTAAAAAAAAGTACATATTTAGAAGATCACATTATTTTACTTTCAGAGTGGTGTGAACAAATTTGTACAACAATTAGAGGCAAATGCACACAGTCAAAAATTCAAGGTAAAATATTTTTCATTGTTTTATGTTGATAATGTATGTGATTATTCACTATTGTGTTATCATCATTCTTGCCATTCTTTCTGGAAATTACTTTGTAAGTAGACTACATGACTTTATTTTGGACATCTAATTGTATTCCAATGAAAATTTACTATAAAGTTCTCAAGATCTATTGTTTTAATAATGCAGGAAAGTATGTCTGGCAAATTCAGAAGATATCATATACAATAATCTGTGCTTTGATCCATTTATCATTTATAATCTCTATAAATTTAAACCACTTATAAAGTAAATTTATAGCATAAATGTAAGGAAATTGAATGAATTTGGTTCATTTCATTAGGTGAATGTCTACAGTCGCACTTGGTGGATACCCAAATTGTTGAAAATGAACAAGGAATGGCATTTGAGATTCAGGATAAAGACAGTATGTACACTTGTATGAATGAAAATAGTACATCTTACCAATGTAAAAAAGCCATCAATATGGTCATAGAGGTACATGTAACTAACTCTATAATGCCGCAATAAGTCAGAACGATTAAATTTTTGTTTCAAAGATTTTATCATAAATTAAAATAAAATATAAATAGCAAGGCTAGACATATAATGTGTGCAAAATCTGACTTATCATTATGACAATTGACCATGATTTTTTAAGGGTTAAGTTTATTTAGTTAAATTCATTCTTATCCAAAGTCATATCTGATTGCAGTAAAAGTAGAATCAAGAGAATATATTAACTTTATTCTATCAATATACTGTATTCATTCGATATTACATGATCAATTCATTATAGGTGTACCATGTTCACAAGAAATTTTCACAGGGAGTTTAACTACAGACATGGAGTTTGAGATTTCCTGTGAGTATTTGATACTGCCAGAAATCACGTACATGTAAACTTAGTATTTTATTTAGTGTACTATATTACTTCAATTTATTAGGGCCCCACTCTGTGGGCACCCCATAGTGATCAGTCTGCCTGTCCTTCCATCCATCCGTCCATCTGTCCATCCCAGATCCCTTGTCCGGAGCATATCTTCTCTCTCCTAGTCCTTGGCCCAATCATTTAAAGGTGTCCTTGGCCCAATCAGTTAAAGGTGTTCAATGACCTTGAACCATGTTTCTAGGTCTAAGCCTAAGGTCAAGGTAATAGCAAAATTATATGAAAAATCTTTCTCTAGAGCATATCTTCTCTACCCTTGTTCCAGTGGGGCTAATATACTTCACCCAAAGATTGCCTTTGGGTAAAAGGTGTGCAGTGACATTGAACCATGTTTTTAGGTCTAAAGTCAAGGTCATAGCAAAGTTACATAAAAAATCCTTCTCCATAGCTCATCTTCTCTACCCTTGATCCAATGTGGCTCATACGTCAACTCACAGCGTTTGTTCAAATCATGACCCCCCAGGGGTAGGATGGGGCCACATCTTAAAATCTTGATAACAATAGTTAAGCGATGATTTAGTAATATGGATTTGGAAGCATCCTCTTGTAGCATTTACACATTTTGTCTTACTTGCTTCTAGTTGGCATTGTAGTATAAAACTAATTAATTTAACAATTAATTTTTCTTTCCAGCCACAGGTTCCTGTACCCCATCCCTACCTTCTTCTCAGGACTGGTATGAAAAGAACAAAACACCGAAAGAAAAACTAAATGAAGCTTTGCAGAGACTTGCAGGTAAGAAGAGTTATTACATGCAAATCATGACCCCCCAGGTAGGATAGGGCTTCAATGGGGGATCAAGTTTTTACATACAAATATATATACATGTATACATATATATATATATATATATAGAGAGAGAGAGAGAGAGAGAGAGAGAGAGAGAGAGAGAGAGAGAGAGAGAGATGTTAATCGGTCAATATTTGATAATCAGTTACTCGGACGTTTTTTGGATCAAGTAATCGGGTACTCGGTAAAATTGTAAATACAAGTCTGTTAATTTTCTTTTAAACCCCAATGTTTTTTATTACGCTTTGAGTGCATGTTTAAAAACATCGAGTTCAATGAAAATGATTTATTGTACTTGATTGATTTATTTTAAAAAATACACACAAACAAAACATATCACTTTGATACACCAATAGGACCGCAATAGGTGAGAAAAGCTGTATAACAGGTAATTGGTCACTAATTAGTGTATAAACACAGCCACAGGCGATAACTGGTGTTTTAAATGGGTAAGGGCAATGGCACTCTTATTATCGTATGCACATTTAAGTTATTTTTTGGTAATTTTTTGATAAAGATATGTACTTTGGAATATGGAAAAAAAATTATACATCTGAGTAACTGAGTTTGAGTTTATTCTCATTAAGAACAAAGTCATGATCAGTCAGTCAGAAGCATCCATGTCAATGAATGTAGTGTAGAGTAGAATCAAGTTTGTTCAAATTATCCCCCCCTCCCCAGGGTAGGGTGGCGGACAAAAAAGAATTTGTAATCAAGAATAGCAAAGCCATTATGAGTCATATGAATATGAAAGTATCCTCAGGTAGTGAAGGTTCAATTTCATTTAAAACATGAACCCTGGGGGGAGGGTGTGGCTAATGTGATCAAAGCTTTACATATGAATGTGTAGGAGAAGAAATCTGCTGATAAAGAACAGTAGGGCCATATTGACCTAGATGAATGATGTGGCCCATGGGCCTCTAGTTTGTGAATTCCAGTAGAGGATTACTCTCCTTATATAACAAATTACATTCTATATCCTAACAATGACTATTTTGCTTTCAGGAGATCAGTTTCAACCTCTAAAGTCCCAGCTTACAAGACCTTGGTCTGAATTAGCGAAGTCTGCAAAGTATTACTATATCAGCAAGGCTAAAGAAGCTGTAATGATAGTTCTGTCCATCATTGCCCCAGGACAAGAAGACACCATTCTTGCCAAAATCTGTCCAACATCTGAAAATGAGAGCAAAGAAATAGACAAAGCCACAAAACAGTTGATAGATGCCTATCATGCCACATCAGACAGAAAAACACAACAGCAGATCCTGTCATTGTTTGTAAACAACTTTACAAAGCAAAAGCTTCTTCAGCTTATACCATCTCTTACACAGTCCAAAATTGATGCAGCTAGAAAACATGCCTCAGTCATAGGACCAGGACAAATGCTGAATCCACCAAAGATATACAGAGTACGTCTGACCAGACCAAAACTGCTGCATTTTATTGAATATGTATCTATGCCCTCAGTTTCCCAGGTTCTTGGTTTTGGTGCCACACAGCTACATTTGTCAAGTGGAGAAAAGGTGCAGATTCCAAAGGTCATCAGAAATGCTGTGAGTGCCAGAATCATTGCAAACTATCAAGAGTATTGCAAGGAATCAGATTTCCAAACTTTTAGCCGTGCTTCATTGTACAGAATCCTCAAAGCCTGTCAAGCATCAAAAAGGAAAGCAATGCATGGACTTGACAACACCACAGCCCTTGGAATGGATGCCATGGAGTCATTACACAAGGTTGTGACACGACTTGGTGAATACGGAATGGAGACAGAGAAAAAAGAGAATCTGATTGACATGATCAACATCTGTAATCAGCATTTGAAATTTGATGCAAAGAGTCATTTTAGCAGAAGTTCATCATGCAGTGATCATTGTACAATATATGCCCTGAGTGATCCAGCAGACACATGCTTTTCAAGTAATTGTGACCATGAACATTCAGACACTTGCTCTTATTGTGTTTTGACAGACAAACTTACAGAATGCATCAAGGAAGCCATGGAAACAGTTCAAATACCATCTGAGGATTTGATGGAGGAATTGCAGCATGAAATTGTCATGACCACAAAAGCCATCAAGGACTGGAAGGCTCATCTTCTCAGAACTGTTCATCAAGACTTTGCAAGATCAGATGTCTTACAACACCTTGACCTAAACCAAGGACTACTTATAATGGATTGGGCCATGAAATTCCTTCCTGTCCAGTACAGAGAAACACAGTCAAATTTCTTTGGAAAGAGGGGGATTAGTTGGCATATATCCTGTTTAATTACCCAGAGGAGTGACCCTGAAGCAACAGCTAGCACCTTGCCAGACCATTACGACTTGAACACCTTTATCCATATCCTCGAGAATGGAAATCAAGGTTGGTTTTCTGTTGCTCATATCATTATGCACCTCCTTCCAACTCTGTCAGAGCAATTTCCAAACCTTCAAGAGATCTTCCTAAAGACAGACAATGCTGGATGCCACCACTGTACACCATTAATTTCATTTGTCAGTCAGAATTACTGCCATTTTCCTATTACCATCAAAGAGTTCAACTTCAGTGAAGCACAATCTGGGAAAGATCTTTGTGACAGCAAAACTGGTTCCTGTCGAATGCATGTGGCCCGATATCTGGATGAAGGAAATGATGTTCTGTCTGCCTCAGACTTGAAGAGAGCTTTAGAAAGCAATCATGGATTGAAAGGAACTAAAGCCTGTGTTATCTCCATTGACAGGGCAGAGGAACTAAAAATAAAATCCAAAATCCCTCAAGTCAGCCTTCTGAACAACTTCGAATTTAACATGGATTCAATAATTGGGAGAAAGGCATACCAGGTTGGTTGTGGAAGACTCATTGAGACAAAACCCCTGAAAAATCAACATCTTGATGTGAGAGAAATGAAAGGTTTCCAGGTAATTGTCATAATTACAAATCTATAATCACTTTTGTATGGATTTACACAAATTATCTTAATAGTTGTTTTTTTTAAATTCTACAATATACAGTAGAAATGCTATTCTTTCAGTTAAGTATTACTAATGGATTATGAATTTTTTCTGGTATAGGTTTTAGAAGAATTTCCGTCACATGCAGTTGATACTGGCCAAGTTTGTGTGAGAAAAAGAAACCCTAACAACAGAAGTGAAGCTGTCGATGAGCAGGACCAGGATCAGACACAACTGGAAAATGAATTGTATGCCTGTCCAGATCCCTCTTGTCAGAAACAATATCTGAGGTCTGCCAATCTCGAGAAACATCTTGCTCTGGGGAACCACCTGTACAGAAAAGCAGAGGAAACTGGGATTGATTCTGGAATAAGAATCTGGGCTGAGAAGTGTTCGGCCATTCGCGACAAATACACTCACATCTGTGAGACAGTAACCTCTCACAGTGATGATACCTGTTCCCAAAGTTCAGGAGGGTGGGCATTAAAATCTGTAAGTAAATGCCTCAGGTTCTCGCTAAATGTAAAAGACTATGTAAGGCAGATTTTTGAAAACTGTGAGAAGACAGGAAAACGCCCTAACTACGCAGCCTTAAGTGGAGAACTTAAAAAAGCTTCCGATGAAAATGGTTGTCGCCTCTTCAGGCCACATGAGTGGCTGACTGCAAATCAGCTAAGAAACTTTTTTGCATCTTACATAAATAATAAGAAGAAACAGTGCAAAGTCAGAGAGGGACGTACAGATTTTTCAGTTGAATTAGTGGATACAGAGAGCATTGTGAATGATGAACATCTCCAAGAAATTGTCATGAATCTCAAGGCAGAAGAACATCATCAGACTTTATCAGCTATGTATGAAAATGTGTTGAATGCTGTAAATACATAATTTTGTGCATCCATGGCAACCTTTCTGATAAATTTGTAGGTGTGAAAAGTGAATATTTTGCAAATTTATTCAAATAGTGTAAGATATTTCTCAAGATACAAATACCAATTCCAGCATTTCGTGAAATGCACTTAGCATATGAATATTATTAGCATATTTGTATTTCCAATTTAAACACTAGATATTTAAAATTTTGTTTTGTTTGGTAACCAATTGGTAAACATTTCTATGGTAGCTTTCATGCTATGTTAGTAAAAATTGTTCTTTCAAGTTTTGTATCTCCTTCACAACACAAATAATAGTTGCTTAAAGTCAGATATATATTTATATATATGTGTATTAGCAAAGGTAACGATCTAAAGTATTCCCATAGTATTCGAAGTCTAGCTTGCCTGAATATGTCAGAAAAATTGAAAAAAAAATGTTTATAAAAAATTATGTTTCCATGGCAACATTTGCATAATTTTCTTTGTTTTTGTACACCAATGTTTATTTGTAAACCATTTTTAATTTTAAATGTTTGTAAATATAAGACTTTTCTTGATTTTCTGATTTAAGTGTAATGAATTAGTAAACTATAATTTTCATCCTTTTCAAAGTAAATGATAGAACTCCAAGAATATGGTATTTCCATGGCAACATATTCTTTATTTTTACATGGCAAAAATACATTTCTTACAATTTTTAAACACTTTGCATTTTGTATATAAAAAAATGTTTATTAATATGATTAACTTTAACTTTTTCTGTTCAAATAAGTAACCGACCATTTGCTATTTTCAAAGAAAAAATATACCAAGATAATGTCGTTACCTATGACAACATATATGTTCTGTATTAAAATGTTTTAGTCTTTTTTACATAGAATTGTGTTATAGTTGTCCTGTTTGTTCTGAAATATTATAAAGTGACATGCTGAAACATTTCGAGCTTATTTATGAATACTAGATATGAGCTATTTTAACCATTTTCATTACTAGTATGATTTGCAAAACGTCAAATTAAAGCATTTTCGTGACGTCATACCTATGCTATTTGAAAAAGTCCTACGACAGATTTTTTATATTTTTTTAATTATGGTCTGTACTTCAATGTGTTATTACAATTAAACAAATTGCAGCGTTTACAGACCCTGTAAAAGTTATTTGAAAGTACCTAAATATTGAATTTTTTTGGAAATTTGAATTTTGGACGATTTGTGACCTTTTTGCACTTAGATTGGATAAGTACTAATTAAATTTTACTATCCTGAATGATACTCTAGGCAACATACTTTTATGCCTATCAATTAGTTTCAATGCATGAAATGTCATAATTTGATGAGACTTGCTCAAATATGTCTAGATTCCATGATTTAAAGCTTCTAATTTCTTATTTTTAGTAACATGCCTCTAACTCGTGAACGGAGGCAAAAATAAAAAAAAATGTGGCAAATTCAATGGTATATCAATACTACATTGCACACAAAATTTACATTTTTCAAAAAAATATTTATAAATAGGCAAACTAAAACTTTCCCCTGTAAAACCATGATTTGTAGTATGTCAAAATATAGCATTGTTCGTGACGTCATATCTATCCTACTTGGAAGAGTCCAAAGATAGATTTTTTATATTTTCCTAATTATGGTCTGTACTTTAAGGTGAAATTGCAATAAAATAAATTGCCGCGTTTACGGACCCTGTAAAAGTCATTCGAAAGTTCATTAAAATTGAATTTTTTTGGAAATGTGAACTTTGGACGATTTGTGACCTTTTTGCACTTAGACTGGATAAGTTCTGAATAAATTTTACTATCCTGTATGATACTATAGGCAACATACTTTTATGCCTATCAATTAGTTTCAATGTTTGAAATGTCATAATTTGTTGAGACTTCCTCAAATATGTCTAGATTCCATGATTTTTAGCTCCTAATTTGACTACAAGTTCTATTTTTAGTAACATGCCTGTAACTCGTGAACTAAGGCAACAATGAAAAAAATATATGTGGCAATTTTAATGGTATATCAATACTAAATTGTACATAAAAATTGATATCAATACATAAACCTTGCCTGTGGAATGTTTTGCATGGTTTTCTCTGAGACGCTCACTTAATATATTAGTACCCAAAAAAGGGTCTTTTTACAAGAAATACAATTGTGAAATATGAAAGCCCACGCACCACCTGTTCAAAAGTTATGACCAAGGATAAGTTTTTGAAAAGGTAGTCAAACTCCAAGGCCAAAGGGTCAAAGTTGTTGGTTTCTTTAAAAGTAAGGTCTTATGTCACAAGGGTTACATTTGTGAAGTATGAAAGCCCTAGCCCAAACCGTTCAAAAGTCTTTAAAAAGTAGTTCAAACTCCAAGGTCAAGGTAAAAGGGTAAACGTTCTTGATATCAAATGAAAGGACTTGTCACAAGGATTAAATATGTGAAGTATATACTAGTAAAGGCCGTAGCCCTAACCCTTCAAAAGTTATGATTAAAAATAAGTATCCAATGAAGGGTCTTCTCACAAGGATTACATATGTGAATTTGAAGGCCCTGGCCCTTACCGTCCAATCGTTATGGCCAAGGTTGTTTTTTCACAAGTACAGAAATCTCTAACTGGTCAAAGTCAAAAGGCAAAGTTGTTGGTATCCAATGAAAGGTCTTGCCACAAAGAATTAAGTGAGAAGTATGAAAGTCCTGGTATTTACCGTTCAAAATTTATGGCCAAAGTAAAAATGTGGAATTTTTGTGTAAAGGTTGGTCAAACTCCAAGGTCAAAAGGTCAAATTTGGTGGTGCTCAAAGAAATGTCTTGTTAGAAGGAATACACATGTGAAATATGAAAGTCATAGCTCCACTAATTCAAAAGTTTACATTTGCAAATATCCATACACTGCAGATTTGTATTTTTTCCTGTACATCTCACTATTCTACAACTGAATGATTGCGCAGCCGTAAGTTAAAAATCAAAATGGCGGATATTCATCTTTTTTTTTAAATTATTTTAAAATTATTTCTTAATGTCGTTTACATAGGAGAAAGGAATTGTGAATATCTTATTGAGAGTAGTACAACTATGTAAAATGCCAACAGAACACTAATTTGATCACTTTAAATCAGAAAATTTAGTCGATTAAATTTGAAATTTACAATTAGCTCAAAATGGCGATTCAGAATGAACGTCTGAAACACTTGAATTTTGTATAAACTGCTTAATTCTGGTTCGTTTTGCTGAAAATAATTTAAGGTTTGTTATTTATATATATAGTATATTGATTAGTCCATTAAATATGAACAAAAAATACTTGAAAAAACTCATTTATTTCTGGAAATAGTTAAAACAAACTCGACTTAAGAGTTTCCAAATTTCCCCCTTCGTATTTGACCGTACGTGTTCCAAAGCCTTTGAGCCCCCGTCCACCTAAAATCACTTCCGAATCCTGTTATTATCAACTCGCACTTCTACCTCAACATCCTTAGGCACACCATCAAATATAACTGAAGAAATTCTTGTCCGAACGCTTTGTTCTAGCTTTTTAGCACTTATAAGAACTTAGTATTATCCCCTAACATCTTCTATTCCAGCTTTATTCGCTCTATGTTTCAGTCTGTCATCGAAAGTTTGGAATTTTCAATTAACACTCAAGTAAAATGGTGCCCCGTGTCAAGGATGACAACCCCCTTGGCATGTAAAAGATCGTTTCTCAGGAGTTCGAAAAAGAGTAAGCTCACTAGGGGCCGCCAGATAAACCAAAATCCTCCAAAAACCGACTATTTAAACTGATAGTCCGCAACATGGCTGAAAAATTGCCGACTCGGCATTAAACAATATACAATCAATCAACCAACACTCAAGGAACAACACATTTATGTTCAAATGTTAAGAGTCTATTTTGTTTTCCAAAACCATAATTATGCAAAATGATCTAGAGGTACCAGTGTCC